CCAGACCGAACTTCCCGACCTCAAACGTTGTGGGCGGGACTAAGTTCGGAATGGCACCCAGGCTAACTATATAGTGGACTTTATAGCAAACTCAGTTAACTGACCATTTGGACAGATGATCACTGCTTTTTGCTCGCCGTTGGTCACATAACTACATAATCTACTGTGCGGTTCCTGCACCATCTTTATTATCAGTCGCCTTACAGTGGGCCACTATGACAGCAAATCCCATGATGCTTTGTGAGAGCTCTCCACGCAAAGCATTCCACAATATTTCTGCATCTTCTGAGGCCTTCCTTTTCTTCTCATACACTTCGTAGACACTTTTTCTCTCACGAACGTCGGCCTATCACCATTGTGAAAAGGTGAGCTTAAATGACTGACTCAAACTGTAGCTCACCCATATACGCCTTAAAGTGTGCACGCGCAGAAAAATATAGCTAATGGGACGAGCATGTGAAACGGCCTTACATAAACATATCACCAGGATGATTTACAATTAAGCTTATTTAGATGATCCTCCTGGAAATAAAAGATCGTCCTCTATACCTTTAATTAAACGATCAAATAGTACAAGAAATAACCTTTTCCCCCCATAATAGAAATATGAGGAGGAGCTTACATTTTTTTATTTTAGAAAATCCAAATATATGTGCTGTAATGCATACATAAAGACTCTAAGATTTTCTTAATTATCTTTTGACCCTAAGGTTTTACCTTCATCAAACAACCTGCAGAATAAAAGGAGATTCGAGTGTCATGCCTTCAAAAGCTAAAATTAAGATTGGGCAGCAAACTGCTTTTTTCAACACATCTTTAAGATTACTAGTTTGTTTTTGTTTTTTTACACACAGTGATCTTTGGATGTTATGAGTAGCTTGTTATTGGGAAAATATCTGCTGAAATCTAGATTTTTTTGTCTTTTAATAGTTAATTTAAAACAATGACTTGCAGTCGTTTTAAATAGTACCTTTAGAAGTGAAAGTGACCCACAGCATCACTGATCTTCCAACGTACTTAATGATGGAGGTGCAGTACTTTCCCCACAAATTAGTTCTTCCATATCAGAGTGCCTGCTTCCCTGCAGCTCAGTCTTAGTTTAATCACAGCACAAGGTTCCAGTTAAATCTCAGCACTGATTATGTTTGTTATGGTAGGAAACAAAGTATGTTTTTTGCAGCCATCAATCCTTAACTGCATGGGGCTCTTGTAAAATGAAGTTTTGTTAAGAAAATGTTGCCTGTGTTTAATGACGAAAACATAAAGTCATGGATAAATTAATAAACCTAATACTCTCTGAAGACATTTAACAATTATATAATCAAATTCAAGATAGTGATGTATATCACCAAACAGTTCACAAAAAAGACACAAAAAAGTTTTTGCATGATGAAGGAAAAGCATCAACCTTTTTACTATTAAAATCTTTAGTGTTCATCGTACGTCTTGAACACCCTATCATATAGGTCGTGAAGAAATAGAAAGCCATTTGTTTTCTGCAATGTTGCTGTCTTTCTGTAGTTTTCTGAGATAAAGAGAACATGCTGGAGTTGGCTGAGTAAATGTGGAAAGATGAGACTAATTGAAGAAAAGAAAACATCTTATCCCATCTGGGAAATATGGTGATGTTATCTTGGTTTAGGCCTGCTTTTTCTGGGCCAGTATATCTATCATCAGTGATTAAAGATGGCCTTTTTTTTTTTGAAATAACTGCCAGTTTAAAAGAAAACTATCATCACTGTTATCTACACTTTGAATCTTAAGAAAGGCTGATGTCACAACAACTGCATCTGCTCATATCGTTCCATCAAATTGTAATTACAGAAGAATTAAGTTCATGTTTTGGAATATTATCATTTACTTCAGTTCTAAACACATTGGTGCTCCTTTTAGATATCTAGCATAAAAGTTTCCATGCAGTTTCACTATGAATTTTAGCATTGCATCATTATGAATTTCTTTTTTTCGTTTTTTTTTTGTTTTAGGAACCTGGATGTTGGGGAATGATTTTTATTAGATTTTAAAAACAAATCAAAATAAAGACATAGCTCTACAGTTATATAATATGATTGGAAATAGGTATATTAACAGTTTTATTTTAATTTATTTCACTTAACTTAGCTAGGAAAATCATTGAGATATATTATAGAACTTAGTTTTCCCGCCAATAGTGGAACTCATAAAAAGCACAATTTCATATTATAGTACGTGAGAAATTTCTAATAATTTTCATCATTTCCAACAACTCCTTATCCTTGTAGGCTTCCTGGATACAATACTATGATTGGTTTGAACTTAAAACAACATATTTTAATGGATAGATTATAAAAAAACTACCGGTAATAGAATTATGCATATGGCCATTATGTTTTCATTATAACTTTTTTTTTTTTTTTACCTGGAGTTGGTCATTGTTTTGACAAGAAAATTGGTTTTCTCACCTTTTTTGTTAAAAAGAGTTATTGATCACTATTTTTAAATGCTCCATTATATAAAAAAGAACACCTTATATTTTATGAATGCAAATATTTCCTTTTAATAGTATTTGCATCTAGAAAAGAGGTAAAGGTCACAGTATAACGACCTCCAACAAACAAAGTGCAGCAATGAGCAATCCCTCATACTGAGCATACATGCGGCAACAGTGGAAAAGAAAATGCCCCAACACTTATAAAGGAAATCTCACCTGTTGTATCAGATTTCAAAGGAAAAAACAATGTTTTATTTTATTATTATTATTGACCCAGTTAAAGTTTCTTTGTAACCTTTCAAGAGGTTAATCCTTTCTGAAAGACAATAACAAACGAAAGCGATTAAGTGTTTCACTTACTCTTGATTACAGTCCAATATACAAATTAACACAATAGGTTATTCACAAAGATCCGGGAACCTGTCACATCACACACTATTGAGCCTTTGTAAACAGAGTGCTGTCTTTTACCCCGTGCTTTACACAAACATAGAGGTGACACACTTAGGAAAACAGAAGTAAAAGGTTGACAGGTGTGTTTTACATCCATTTGGCTCTTATGTGGTTGTGTCTAATATTAACTGTACTTGCACTTTGTTATATGAAGAAAAGAACGTTTCCTTTGTACTCCTGCATTTTTCTTCTCCAGAAGTTGCCGGAGAGGAATCCAGTGCTGATGAAAAGCAAGACCATGTCTCTCCCACACAGTGAGTATCCCTGCCCCCACCCCACAAATAACCCAATTAAAAGTCCTTCTTTAGTTTGAATTTATTTAGTTTTCATCTGTCCTCCCTCATCTCACAGTTCCCCCCCCCCCCCCCCACCCCACACCCCTCCACCCACACACACACACACACACACACACACTCACTAACGCGCACAGCCCTGTTAAACTTCAACCCACCTCGGTGGGGGGTGAAGTCTGGATTTTCTTGATGACTTTTCTTTGGTCTCTCAGGTTGCTTCTGACCGTATGATCATAAAGGACAACGAAAGTTTAAGGTTTTATATGATTAAAAAAAAAAAGAGTGGTCTAATTTTTTCCCATGACTGTCTGGACATGTTCCACATTCGTAGAAGTAAAATAGGTCACTATTATAGGTCATTCGTAGAAGTAAAATAGGTCACTTTAGTTGGCCATGTGTTTTTATTTATTTATTTTTTTTTTTGCAAAAAGTGCTGTAGCCTTCTTTTAGACTAGCTGACCAGCAACGCTCAACAAATCTAATACAGCAGAGGGAAAAACTTTGTTATTTTAAACAATCATTAAAAATTTGAACCTTTTCAAAGTACTGATACAAAACAGATACAAATCACTTTCTAAGTCCAGCTCCACTTTGATGGTCGTTCATCTCTCTGCTGATATTTTAGGCTTTGCCAAGGAAGTCTCTCCGAGCTCTCTTTTCTCTTCATCTGCTTGCTCTTCACCATCATCTTCAGGTCCAACGATGGCAAAAGAGAAAAGGGAAACTGTGGCTTCTTTCTCCAAGAGCCAATCAATCTCCATTGACATCAGGTAGAGCAGTATTTGAATCTACAGTATATGATGTATGCTGAAGCACTTGTTTACCTATTCAATCAAACACTTTCATTTAACTTGGCTTTTTTATTATTAAGATTTTTATATGTTTTTTGCTGTAAGATTCTTATGACTGAAATGTAATAATTTGAAAAAGACAGTTAGACCCTTTTTGGAAAACTTCATCACTGAATGATAGCAATCATCAGATACTCACATAAAAAACATCCAAAATTATTGTTGCCTGATTTTTTAAAGTCCAGTCAGTGTGGATGAAACCATCTTTCCCAGACAGGTTTGTCTTCAACATGGGTTTTAAGCCTGGACTCTTTTGGCTTTGTTTCTCCAGCAGATGCTGGAATGAAACCAGGGTGGACAGTGAATGCAACACGACAGCGTGCACTAACAGTTCACCGTCTGAAGATGGAACACCTGTCACAGCAACTCCCCCTTTCGCCGACCTCCCAATTAGCACAAAGGGTGAGGCACAGAGACCTATTGCGTTCAGTGTAAACATCAATTACAAAGTTAATCTTTGTCTTATTGCTGTGTTTACAGATACTGTTGACGCTCCACTTCTGAGTGATCTGTCAGCTGACCTGCTGGGGCTCGAAGCTGAGTCTTGGAGTCTCGCCGTCTGTCCAGAGTTTTGTAGAGAACAAGACAGGCGCACCATCAAACGACAAGATGTTATCTATGGTAAGATGTTTTTTTTTTTAAGGATATGGTTGCACTGTTAAGAAATATAAAACACAAACTAGCATAAATGGTTTCTGTCCAATCTCATGGCATTTTGCTTGGTCATTAGCTGTACATGATTTTTGTTTTACTTTCCCAATGAAGGCACCTGTTGCTCAGTGCTTCTATGTGTAACGTTGTCTTTCTGATATCAGTGATTAACAACTACTATTCTCAATAGATTTGTATGTTTTTGTTTTTAATTTGCCATCATATACAGATGACTTATTGCTTCTGTGTTTAGCTTAATATCATTTTTCCTAGAGGAAATTATTTATTCTGTATGGAGAGGCAGTTCAATATTTCTTTTAAATATATTTTTACTACACAATATTGATGGAAATTTACGAGAGAACAGGAGGAAAAAGCATAAAATGCTGTAGTTTCCCGTCCAAAACTTGACAGCTGCGCTACTATTTAGTTTAGTCTGTTATGTGGATCACTGACAAATCTTAGGTCGAAATGTCCCTTTTATACTAATTCTATTTTCCTTTCAATAAAGCGCACCAACTTAAATTGCAGATACATTATTTATAGTATGTGAAATAAGTGCGGTTGATCCACATATTACTATGCAAATATTAGGCCGTGCATACTGTTTTGGTTCTTTTCATTGAAATTTAGTAGATTGCGCATTCTAAAGATAGTTGGAGAGTGACTACAAGAGAAAGATGAGCTTTTAAAGCCATAGAGATGGCGATGATAATGTTAATTATTAAAAAAAAATAAAAATAACATTAAACAATATTTTTAGTGCCTATTTCACATTGTGAATGAAAATAAAATAAAACATTTCTAACAGTCCAAATATGTTAACATGCAGCCAAAATCTCTCTCCATCCTCTAGGATTGCACCAATGCCTCCTTTGTTGCAACAACTGCAGATTTATTTTTGTACCTGACTTTTATTAGTACTAAAAAAGATGCAAAAACTGTGTCTACAGTTTAATTTCAGATTTGGAAAATTGCTTTGCACATGGTAAATGTTAACATTTGCATATCCTCCACCCATGAACTTAGAATATGTTCTGCATATTGATGAAGCCAAACATGCAAAAAGGTTTGCACGCAGTGGTTGCTGAATTGCCAATGCAAATCATTTTGCACTTTCTTTGAAGATCTACTCTGCTCATACAAACATGATTGGACCTGTTTTAACACTTGCAAACTTTCTGAAGATCAGGCCCTTAATGTTTCTATGCTACACTGTGTTTGTTTCTGGGTAAAACCATTTATAGAAGTAATGCTATAATTAGCACTTTAATTTTCTTTTTATCAGAAATAGGTGTTGGCTCAGTGCTTCTGTGTTTAGCTGCATCTATTTCCTAGACAGAACCACTGAATGAAATACCTATTAAGAACTTTCTATTAGTAACTGTTGTGCTTCCTGTGTTTGATCGGGTCCTACAGACTGTCAGAAATTGATTCAACGTCAATGAATAAATGTAATTCAATTAGCTTCTTCAGAGTTTTTACCAATTTCTATTACTGAAAATGTATTTTTGATTTAACGTAAACAACCATATAGCTGGGTTGAATTGCAATGAATGACCCTAATGTCAGGTTGGGTGAAGGTTTGAGAGGAGGATCTAAATGCAGAGAGTGAAGCTGAAGATGGTTACTTGCAGATTTAATTTAAAAAGGTGACAACAGAAGAGAAAACCCCAAAACATAAACAGACTAAGTCCACCACAAACTGAGAACCAGGAATACTCACAACAAAGTGCAGAGAAATGATGATGAACCGGCAAACAGTGACTGAGCAGGAGGTGCATAAATGGGAGACAGAAAATAATTAGAATAACACAAAATGGAAATAAAACTAACGAAAACTCGAAGACAAAACTTAAAGAGAACCAAAACCATGAAAACTAATAATAATTGAATACTCTTGGTCAAATTATGTCTTATATGAATGTGACCTGTCTAACTTGGAAAGCAGCATAAGAGGACATTTGTTGTAAATCTGTGCCTCGTAAATGGTAGGAATACTGAATGGAATTCAATTAAGCATTGATTTGCAATAGAACCACCAAGCTCAGCTTTTAACATTCATTTTCTTAAGTGTCATTTTGGGTAAAAAATACTGTAATATTCTAAAAGAAAAAATAAATCCCTTCCTTAATGTTGCAACAATCACAAAAGCAGTTAATTTCTCACAGCTGGTTTTTGAATAATTGTGACCATACTAGCATGTGATTATGCTGTATTTGATAAAGCCTAAAAATCAGACCCCCAACACATATTGATGCTTTTATCAACTGTGCTTCCAATTGTATGATTCACAAGTAACCAGAGATGGCAAAAGTACTCACTTTCTGTACTTGAGTAAAAGTACAGATACTTGTGTTAAAAAATACTCTGGTAAAAGTGGAAGTACTGATTAAACTTCTTTACTCAAGTAAAAGTAACAAAGTACAGGCTTGTAAATTTACTTAAAGTATAAAAGTAAAAGTAGAAACCACTTTTTTCATGCCGTTGCCTACATTTTAAATGGATGTCTGCCAATAGGACTAGATCTCCGTTGTGTTCATTTTCAATCATCTCGTCGTCCATGCTACTATGCTAACGCCACCGCCACCAAGCTGCAATGATTTGCCGCCAATGAATGCCGCCGAATCTGTCGATTCATCTTGTAGTGGTGCGTCAAATGCAACGTAGATTCTCATCCAATTAGATTGAATTTGGTATTGATGACGTGAAAAATAATAACGGTAACTCCATTGAAATGATTCAAAACTAAAGTAACGAGACAATTTTTTAAAGAAAGTAGAAAGTACAGATATTTGTGTAAAAATGTAAGGAGTAGAAGTAAAAAGTCACCATAAAAATAAGTAGTAAAGTAAAGTAAAAATATCAGAAAAATCTACTTGAGTACAGTAACGAAGTATTTGTACTTCATTACTTCCCATCTTTGCAAGTAACTAAAACCCCTAAGTTGGATACTGTGAGAAAGTCTGAGTCTGGATGTTCTCCTGTAACCTCTTTCTGTGTAGAGCTGATGCAGACGGAGCTGCACCACATTCAGACACTGACAGTCATGTCGGAGGTTTTTAGGAGAGGCATGCTGGAGGAGCTGCAGCTCGACTCAGATTGCGTGGCCCGGATCTTCCCGTGCTTGGATCCCCTTCTTCTTCTACACAGGAACCTCTTCAGAGCGCTGCAGGAATGCCGGCAAGCTGCAACCCAAAAGGAAAATTCACGAAATTACCTCATCCATCAGATTGGCGATGTGCTGCTGCAGCAGGTTGGTATTGGCAAGTCAGCTGTTTGTGCAAGATCAATGTTAATGTTCACCATCATCAATTTCTACTTGTTTAGTTCTCGGATGAAAATGCTGAGAAGATGAAGCAGGTGTACGCAGAGTTCTGCAGTCACCATGCGGAAGCCGTGAATCTCTTCAAAGAGCTCCAGCAGCAGAACAAAAAATTTCAAAACTTTGTCAGAGTAAGTTTCATTTTCCAGCCTCTCACAAGGTTTATACAGTAAGATATATTTGATAGACTGAATATGTTTTACTCTCACTTTTTTTCTCTTCTCACAGCAACAGAGTAATAACTCTCTGGTCAGACGAAGAGAAGTGCCAGAATTTATCCTGCTTGTCACGCAGCGCATCACTAAGTATCCAGTTCTGGTGGAGAAGATACTACAGTACACTCAGGGTGAGAGAGCTAGACAGATTTAAAAGTCTTCTACTGCATCTACCCAAATACTGTGCAATAAAAAGTATTTTTACCAGTTGAACTTTACTCCATTTTATTATGTTGTGACAAAACATTTCTGTGTATTTTTAGATTTTATACGGTTAACCAGAATGAAATTGAACATACAGGGATTGTAAAGTCCTTTAAACCTCTGCCTCAGTTAAAATGTTCTCCAGCCTCTAACAATTTTCTTCTCTACACTTGCTGAAAAATAGTATTTATATTGCATCATACTGGCACCATTATGTTTCTCCATGGAGATGGTGTGTTCAAGGTGATGTTATTTTACCCTCAGTTCTTTTTGCATGAAGGCAAAATGTTTGATTTTTGTCTCATTTAACCAGAACACCTTCTTGAGCAGTTTTTCTTTTTCATTTTTATAGCTTGTGGCAAACTTTAACATAGTTTTTTTTTCTTTATGTTAGATTTGTAAACTCCAATAGTTGTCCAGTCAACTGATTTACCCAACTTGCCTGAACTAAAGATCTCTGTAGCTCCTCCAGCATTACCATGGGCTGCCTCTCTGTTTGATGCAACCCTTGCTAATCCTGACACTTTAGAAGTGCAAACATATCTAAATGGGTTTCAGCTATGCAGTTTTCTTTAAGACGTTTAATACTTGGGATATTTTTATAACTAACTGTTTTATACTAATCCTAGACTCAGGTCTGAAGGCACCGTATTACATTGGATTTAATGCAGAGGTTTGGACTAAATGGGAACATATTAAACTGCAGTCACAAGAAAAAAAAGAATAAACATAAATTTATAATTTTCTTTTTCCTTCAAAGTTATACTTTTTTTAGGTCTGTCACATGAAATTGTTTTGAAATACATTCATGGCTTTAGTCTAAAATAGCTAAAAAAGTATGATAAATTTTAGATGGTATACATTCAAATAAATATAGTACATGTATTCATTGTCATCTTAAAGATGTCCTAATTGAAAGATATGGTCATAAAATGTATTCTTCCTTCTTTAATCTGATTAGGACTTATTTTAATGAATCAAATAGAAGCCAAATTGGAAAATAAAGTTGTTTGTCTATTCTATTGCCCCCGTTTCCACCAACAGAAGGAAGCCGGGAACACTCTGACTTGTCAGATGCTCTGGCTCAGATCCGTGAGATCATCACAGCAGTGGACCTGATGGTTGGTAAATATGAGAGATTTCAGGAGCTGCAGGAAGTGCTGGCCAGGCTCGAAACCAAGAGCATCGCCAAGCTTAAGAACAACAAGATATTTCGCAAACAAGACCTACACAGCAAACACAGGGCTTTGCAGCACAAAGGCCTTCTCTACTGGAAGACTGCAACCGGGCGTCTAAAAGGTGTGAATGAGATCATCTCTGGTACAGAATTAGATTTGCTTTCGACAGAACGCAAACATTTTTTATAAATATTTCAACAATTTTTTTTTCACAGACACTTTAGCACTTTTGCTGACGGATGTTCTGGTTTTTTTGCAAGAAAAAGACCAACGCTTCGTATTTGCCTCTGTGGTAAGGCATTTACCCAAACTCTGCTTTGAAACTCGATACACCTTTACTCAAGTTTTCCATGTTGTAACCTTTCCCTTCTGGACTCTCTCCTTAAGGACCAAAAGCCTCCAGTTATTCCCCTGCAAAAGCTCATTGTGAGAGAGGTAGCCAATGAGGAACGAGGAATGTTCCTTATCTCTGCATCTTCTGTTGGGCCAGAGATGTATGAAGTTCACACCATCACAAAAGAGGAGAGAAATGCCTGGATGAGACACATCCGACAAGCTGTGGAGAGGTGTGTGTGTGCACATGTGGTCCACATCAAGGTTATGGTGTTTTTCTGTTTCAGCATCGGAGTGTCTGTGTCAAGTTAATAGATGATAATGACTAGATTACTCATTATCTAACCTACTGAACTACACTGCAGTTGTCCAGAGGAAGAAGAGGAGGAGGAGAGAGCTACAGAGGCAGAAGAAGCCAGACAAGCTGCAGAAGTGAGAGTTCAGAAGATCAGCAAATTCCAGGGTAAAAACAAAGTTTAAATGAATCTATAAATGTAAAATCCTTTGATCTAAAGCATAAACAACAATCCCTACTCTCTGTGTGGATATTTGTGCAGAAACACTGCTTACTCAGGACCAGCAGATCTGCCAAGGCTTGGAGGAGAAGTTACAGCTTTACGCTGAACTCACAGAATTAACTCTCTGCGCTCCAGAGTCTATACCACATCCCCATCTGCTGGTCGGGCCTGCACAATATGTCGATATTGAGGCACCACGTCAGGCATCGTCGCTGCTCACAGCTGCACTAAAAGAAGGTGATGATCAGGATTTGTAGTATGTTTATAAAGACAGCAAACTCGGATATATGCTTTTTAGTACACTAAAAAGCCTATAGCATTAATTTTTCTAAGTGAATATCTGACTAGGCACATCTAGGGGCAGTTTCAATAAACTCATGCCTTCCACCGCCTGGCAGAGTTGAAATGTGACCTTATTAACTTGGTTTTGACTCATTGATTAGTTGTATCATGTCATATTACAACTACAAACCTGCTTCAGAAAAAGGGATTTCCTGTGTTCAAAATGAACAACAAGATATTAAGGCACAGTGCATAGTAGGGGTAAAGGGTTGAGAAAGAAAAACAGTATTGGACTCGGGCTGTAATATTCTTGATTCTTTTTAATTAACTAATTTATTAAGAACAATGCAATATTTGTGCGTATCAGTTTTCATAAAATATTGTGAAAAAAATAAATAAATAAATAACCCAAGAATAGTTTGATGTTTCAAAAGAGTAATCTGTCAATTTTTATGGCGGAACTTTGTAAATGCAAACAAAACACATCTATCCTGGGGAAAGTCGTGAAACCTGCAAAGATTCAGGCGTTAATATAAAACAGTGTTTCACATGAATTTGGCTTACACACTCAAGTCTAGAAGGTCTGGTTCTGCTGCAGCTCAGAAACAGCCTGGATGGCTAAAATGGTTGCATAGATAAGGAGAGGAATACAGCATTAGAAAAAGAGAACTCTTTCTTTTGATTTTAGTTTTTTGCAAGAGCATACGTTTTGTTTATATGTGATTATATAAGCATTACTTTAAGTTGTTTGTTTCAATTACATCATCAGTATTTACTCATGTTTGCCTTTCTAGCGGAGAACCTGATCAACATTCTTCAGACCCGTGATGTAGGTCCAGTCCACAGTCAGAACTCTCCGGTCCAAGCGCCTGAGTGCTGCAGCTACAACAGCCACGGCAGCAGCATCCAGGAGTCTCCTTCTGAACGTAAATCCTAAACACCAACATCTTATCTCTTTCAAATATTCCAAAACTCTAAATGCGCAACTCTCCTTTTGTTTGTCCAAGCAGCAGATTATCTAAGCACACTCAGTATAAGCTCCAATTCTCTGGGATCGGACTGCGAGCTAGCGGCCATGGACAACACATCATGGAGCTCAGCAGTCGAGCTCAAAAAAGGGGAAACAAAAGGGACATTATTAAAGGTTCAGGCAGTTTTCTTTTGCCCAGTAATTTTCACAAATTAACAAACAGAAGTTTTTTTGTTTGTTTTTTGTTTTTTAATAATAGCAAATTGTTATTTTAGGTGACAGAAAGCGTCCAGAGCCTGACTCAGCTTCTCTACAGTCTACAGGTCTGAAAAGCACACAACTCTTCTAAACAGTCAAAATACTTTGAAAAGATTAGCGAAAGATACAAAACAAGGGAATTTAAATAGCTTGCTTAGCTCTGGTCTTAAAAACATAATATTAGGAATATTTAGTATTTATATTAGGCTTCTTACTGTAAAACTGATATTTATTTAATCATTTATAGCATGATGACAGAATTCTGACAAAAGTCCATATGTTTGTGGTGGCTATATTACACTTTTCTAAGGGTTCCTGCCATGTTTACAGGCAGCAGTAACCCTTCAGGACAGCTTCTATGAAGTCCAAAAACTTCTTCTTCAAGAAGGAGAAAAACCTCAGCTTCGCAGCATCACATCCCTCCAAACCAACCTGGTTTGTTCACAGAAATATTCGTCTCTAATTACTCTCCCAGTCAATAAATGTGTTTCTCTTGTGTGGAGTGTGTGTGTAATGTGAGACTCAGTATCAAAATATCAATTAGCTTTTTTTTTATCCCAGGAACAGGAGAAGCAGAGGAACACAGACAAGGTGAAAGAGGAGAAGAAGGGTTTGGAAAGGAAGAAGGAGGATGCGGATGAGGTGCAGAAGCTTCAAGCTAAGCTCAAACAAGAGCTGCAGCGCTGGGAAAAGGAATGTTTGGCTAGAGAGAAACAGCAGGTGAGACCTAAGCCCTATAGTTATCAAATATTAAAACAAAAAAAAGATTTCCTCCATGGTACTGGAATAGAATAGAAATGGACTTTATGATTCCCTAATGATTTTGTTTTGTTCCCAGCTGACTTCTCAAAGTTATTATGCCTTTGAACTTTTTCCCCACATTTTGTCACATAACAAGCACCATTTTATTTTATTGTATGTTATTTAGAGGTGAAAAGTAACATATATATGGTTTACAAAAATATTTTTTAACCAATGAAAGTCTAAATATTGTATAATGCATATAGTATAATTTTGTGCTGTTTCTTGAAGAACATGATGGAAAACTAGGACCAAGGCGGACCCTTGAGAGGGCAGGAGAAAGGTTGTGGAGCTGATTTAGGCAGCCATAGTAGCCTACGTTAGCTTCATGTAGAGGACACTCTTTTCTTGGCTAGTCAGACAAGTTTATAAAAAGCCAAAACAAAAGAGCTAAATAGGCACAGCCCTGAAAGAAAGCCTTCAACTTCCAGCAGGGTATCAACCCTAAGCATAAGGCTAGAGCTGCCAAGGATTGGATTAGATCAAGCCTAAATGTAATCTTGATTAATTCAACTTTATTGATCTCACATTGGAGAAATTTACCTCTGTATTTAACCCATCCCCTTGGGGAGCATTTGGCTGCCATCTTGTGGCATCAGGGCAGCAGTGTGGGGTTAAGGATCTTGCTCATGAGATGCAGAGTGGCAGCCTGTTGGAGTGGGGCTTGAACTCAGAACCTCACAATTCCAAGCTCTATGCCCTAACCACTAGGCCGCCACTCCCATTCAGGTAAGTAAAGATCTGTGATAAGACTTAATAGTTAAACTCTCTAATGAAATATAATTAAATTGAGTTAGATTCTCAGCAAAAAATTCTCAGCACACATCTTAGAAAAGCTGGGAAAAAACATGCCACAGGAGAAATGCAGGAGTAATTGCAGGGAAAGGTGGATAAATACAAAAGCACATCCCTCTTTTCAAATATAGATTTGTGAAATATAAAAAAAAAAAAAAAAAACTTGTTTCAATTTACCTCCAATTGAAAATTATATCCTACTTTCTACTGGTCTGTATAATACAGTCTTAATGTTGACTTTGTGGGTATATGTGACAACATTGACTAAAGTTAGTAAGATAGAATTTATCTAAAAATATATGAACATATGTTTCCTTCCTTGTAGACCGAGCATGAAAACATGCTAGAGCAGCGAGAGCAGCAGTGTCTCTTTGAGGCCACACGGCTGCGCTGCGAGCGAGAGGAGCTTGAAGCTCAGCTGCAGGAGTATCAGCAAAACCTGGACAGGCTGAGGGAGGGCCAGAGGAGTGTGGAGAGGGATAAGGAGAGGATCGAAGCCCAGCAGAGACTGCTCCAGAGCTGGAGGCACAGCCGCCAGAGCAGCCTGCCTGTCACAATACCACTGGATGGATACAAGGTAAGCAGATGAAAAAGATGAGGAGGAGATGCATCAAGGCCGAACATGACTATTCTCATTAATAATCATTTTCCAACTTTGTCCAAGTTCTTTTACTGGTATTAAAATTACTTCATAAATGAATCTGAGGAAAAAATGTTCAAAAGAAGTAATAATAACAGCTATGACCAAACTTTGGTAGTTATGATACTAATAGAGGACATTGTGATGAACATATCCTGACTCTTTGCTTTTACAATATCTCCTTCACTATTTTAGATCTTCAGCATATTAGACATTATAAATGCACATCACAGCAGGATTATTTCCATGCAAAATCAGCGTGTATTTCATTCATAGCAAATCCCATATGCAAGCTGTCCATTTAAAATCAATGTTGGACATATTCAAAATGTGATGACAATCTTAACTCAATATAGTGAGAACTCAAGTGTTTAAGTTTTGAATTTGTAATTTAATTAAATAACAGATCAAAATAAAGAAAGCATTTAACTCCGAGAACATGCATTTTAATCCAGAAAGAAATAAAAAATTTTATCACATAAAAGTAACATTTTCTAATTTTCTTAACAAAGAGCTTAATATGTTTTGGGCAGGGATGACTTTATGACATCTTGAGGTTTGGCACTTACATTTCATTCAACAGTAATTACTGACAGGAGAAACCAGAGGACCTGATAAATCCCCCCAGTTTTCTGAAAACCCAGAGTTAGCTACTTAACTAGGCTGCTTCTGCTCTCCTTCACAGGTATGTGGATGCCTTTACTCTTTAGGCACACTGCAACACTTCCACATACAATCCTCACCTATGCTCACCATACTCTACTGATTTCACTAACTCTCACTTCAGATTGAGAGCTTTGATTTCAGCCTTACTTTGAGTTAAATATTTGCATGTTTCAGATTTGGCATACTAGTGTGTCACCATTTTTTCTGCCCTTTGAGGCAGGTTGTAGCCAAAGCCTTGTCAGCCTCTGAAGAAAGGAGCAGATGGGAGGGAAAATTAAATCAAACAGCAATGCAAAAACAAAGTACAAAGGTAAAACCAGAGTGTTTGCAAAGTTGACTATCATCGACTTTGTGTTTTCTTTCTCTAGGTCCCCACACACAGCCGCACAGGCAGCTTTGATGGGAACTTCTCACTATTTAAGAACAAGTCAGGTTTGCTCAGCTGTGTGCAACAGAACCACCTCCAGCAGCCGACCAACTACAGCTACCAACATGCCCTCTCATTGCAAAAGAAGAATAATCCTGACGGCCTACCGCTCAGCTCAAGCTGCGCTGCAGACCGAAGCCTTAGTGCCAGCCTCTGCAACAGCCTCAACACTCTGCTTAGCCAAACGCACAGCAAACAACCTCTTTATGGTACCAACCACAGCTGCACCCTACCGTCCACAGACTGCCTCCATCCATTCAGTAGCAGAATGGCTTCACAACAGCAGAGATCCAGCAACAGTAGGACAAATCTCTGCTTCTAAAACGTTATATAAAATAATTACCTACTTATTCAGACTTCCAAATCATTTTCTTTTTCTCATTGCAGCAGATGCTACCCAGCTTGAGAAAACACAAACTTCAGGTTCCTGGAGGTCAGGGATCACAGGTCATGCAATCAAGGAGCACAACTCCGCATCTCCCTCTCTTACTCCCCTCCTCCCACCACAGGCTTATCTTTCCCTCGAAGGACAGAACGGAGAGGAGGGAGTTGAGGAAAATATAGTTTACCTCTAAGAATCCAGAAAGAAGCAAAGCGAACTGCAAGATCAAAAACTGGAAGAAAGTGTAATATACCTTATTTTATCTCGCTGTGCTGTTATGTCATTTATAATGGACAAAAAAAACAGAACTTTTAGACATTCTGACTGTTTATGTGCCTTTATCTACGTTATGTGCCTCCAGTGTAATCAAACCGTTGTGCCTTTTTAATTTTTCGTGAAGAAAATGTTTTATATATTTTTTATTTATGCTTCATTTGTTGCACTTCCTTGAAGACATAGGTACATATAAATTAAATGATCAAAAAGAAAGTAGAAGTATTTCCCCACAAGCGCTTTAAATTATACTATATCTGTAAAGTCAATCAAGATCTGCCCCAGACTACTAGAGAAATATTGTTTGGATGTTTTGAAGCACCATTTTTGTTTATATTTATAGATGGGTTTTGGAGTCTGCAAAGTCAAATGTACTGACAATATTGTATATGTATAAATATAAATGTATATATATTCAGATATATATATGTAATATCTTTATTTTCATGATAGGGTTACCCATGTACTCTGTGTTTTAAAGGGATCTTTCGTATTTTTTAATTGATCTAAAGTGCCAAATTTTATGCTGCAATTGATGTAAAGATAATAGTTTTTCTCATAATTTATTTCACATATTTTGCTTTCTGCACTCCAGATATTTTTAGAAGGTTTGGTTTTTAAATATATTGTATTCCCAATTTTACATGCCATCGTCAGCGGCATGGATGCCACTTTCTTTTTGAAGCCTTTTTTTGTTGCTTTGCAGATTTAAAAACCGAAGAACTAGGTGAACTTTGTGTCATCAACTTGACTTAGAGTGGATTTTATTTTGAATCAACACATTTGTCCAAAGTCTCACCTTAGGACAACTTCGCCCACCTTGCAGAGTTGACGCCTTGAAAGTAGTCCTTGCAATTCCAGGTTCCTCCTGCGACATACTTAGTTGCCCTTTGGCAAGGCACAGACCTCCAAGCTGCCCACCAAATGTGGCTCCGGTGTGAATTTCCTGTTGATATGGTCCTACCTATTTTTCAAAACAACTTCATTAAAATGTTTAAAACTGGTTTACTGAGATACAAGCTATTAAATAGTTTCCCCCACAACTTTAGCTGCATTAATTAGCATACATATATGGGAGCTGTGCCTGACGCTCATCCAGTCTGAGACATCAAAAAGTTCAACAAGTTGCGCCTTATCACCAGAAGTTTTTTTTTCTTCCCATTCTTTCTCTATCCTTTTCCCACAAGCTTCTGCTGTCACTTTAGTTAAGGGAAACTGGTGTGCTGTAAAGCATGATCATTAGGATAATGGACCTTAAAAAAGATTCAAGTTAGCAGACTTTATGCATTCAAAATCCAGCTATGATGTTTGTATAAAATAATTTCCAAGGTATATTTTCCCTCCTCATGTAACTAACACAATTCCTATAACATAGATCCACATCTTGATTCTGTCATTGTGCCTAAAAGGGCTTAAACTACACCAAATAAGACCTTAGTCTTTGTATGCTCTGCTCTTTGTTAGCTGAAACACTCTCTTTGAATGCTTATGTGAGGCTCTTCATCTTTGACAAGATTTCCCACACAGACCTGGCTTTTTGACATATTCCAAACATTTTCAGTATGGTTAGGAGGTGTTAGGGATGCCACTCTGAAATGTTTATGTTATCCTGCTTTAAACTTCTAAACCAATGTTAATGTATGTGCAAGGTAATTGCTCTGATTGATTAGCGGTGTCCAACTGTCAGATATATTACCCGAGCTGTCACAACCAGAAGAGAGATCATCAGGAATATTATGAACCACCAAGTCATGCTGGAACATCGGTCCCATTACCTATTTTAAAACAACCTTAAGCAAGAGAAAATATTAAGAGTCCACAGTCAAATAAAACTTTCACACCCAGTTCTTGTTTTTAACAATTAATGAAGTCAGTTGTTCATTGATTTCACACTGAAAAAGAATGATTCAAATAAATGATTAAGTAAGTGACCAAAGGAGGACATTCAAGCCCATGATTACTGCATTTAAACCTCTGATGAGAAATATACGTCTCCAAATACTGTGTATATAAAACTATTGTGGCAAACATCTACTTTAGAGTCTTTCACCTTATTTGAGTATCCGTCTGATAGTTACACACCTCTAATATTTCCTGTGCTGTATTACACAATAACCCATGACTCACTGCTGGCAACCTTGACTCAAGTTTCCCCGCAAGTGTTTGCAGTCGCTGAAGACTCAAAACACTGAAGAGGATGAGGAACACCAGGGTGTTCTGCACCCACCTGCTTGGCTTATGTCTTATATTGTACGATGCTCGGTCTGAGGGCTGTGGTGGCTATGGTAAGTTGGCTTTATGGATTTTCTTATTAAAACATCTGTCTTGTAGCTTTTTCAAGAGTTGTATGTGTAATGTTGGGTCAGGTTCTCCACCACCTCCACCAAACATCAGTCATTCTAGTGACAAGCAGAGCCTGGAGCTCAGCTGGCTGAGGATCCAAGGAACCTCAGAGAGGGATGTTTATGAGATCCAGATCAGCCGCACAGAAAATCACCTTATTATTGACAAAGTGAGTAATTGGGTTGCATTAAATGTATATACACTTTTATTGATCTTCTTTAAGTAACAGTTAAACAGACTTCCTTTCTGACATCTAAAACTGCTTGTTGTGGTAAAACCCTTTCAGTAAAGCATTTCTCTGAGAGGAGCGTGCTGCTGCTCTCAGTACACGTTTTCAGATGAAGCAGATGAATTGTAGTTCATACATAAACAACAACAAAAAAAGTACTCATTTAGCTTAATTTTCTTACCTCTGTTTTTACTGTATTATGCTGTACTGGTTTGATTCCCAGCTTAAATAAGTTACATAGAACAAAGAAAATCTAGATCATCTTTTATTCCAATGGAGAAAAACAATACATACCACACCATAGATATTTATATATAAAGCATTTTAAAATAAGACCGGTCAAAGGACGCGCCATTCCCGAAACACCTCTTGACACTGCTTAATGCCATCTACTTTAGACTTCACATGTAAATCAGATGGGCTGATGCCCAGAACGCTCTGGTGTGAGCGCACCAGTTTCAGAGGTTCAAAGCGAATAAGCCCCTCTCTAGATTGCAATGAAAGAACAGAGTAGCTCAATAACTGGACTGCTGAGGATCCTGAGCGTATGAGGGGGTACCAACCATTAAGAGAACAGGGAATATGAGAACTTTAAAAAGGATCCAATAAAGCACAGGGGTGGTCAGATTCTTTTTTTCAAGTTAAAAGTCATGCTAAGTCATTTTGCAAAACCTGCAGGCAACTGATGCATCATTAACCACAAAATAGAGAGAGTTAAAGTAATACAGGCAAGATATAACAAAAGCAGTTTTAAAAAGCTGGTACTCAAAGGTAAACCCTGGATTTCCACTTTAAGACCTACATCAATCTTTAATCACAGAGATCCGAGATGTATGATGGAGATGTGCTACCAAAAACCATCACCTCTTTTATTTGCTCCTCCAAATATAGAAATATTATAAGCCATTTGTGACTTAAAAACAAGGTAAGACAATCAAAAACTTTTCCAGGGAAAAATAACAGAAATTGCAGTAGTCCAGCCAAGAGGTAGAAAGCATGCATCGCAATTTTAAGCCCACTGTAAGAGTAGGTATTGTAAAATTCTAGTAAAATTAAAATAACTTAAAGGACTAACAAAAGTGTTGCATCCTGCAAACAAGTGTTTTCCCAACAACATCATCTCTGTCTTGTTTGAATTCAAATGTTAAAAGTTCCACTCCAATTTAAATTTCTCTACAGTGACATTAAAGTACAGATGCTGTACCGCTGAATGGCTTCCATGTCAATGGGAGGTAAATTTTCTGATCTACTGATTTAGAAATACTAAAAAGGTTTGTTTGAATAAAAACAAATGCAAACTTGGTCAAACTCACAAAGCTGATCTACAAAGCAGGTATAAATCAAATTCTGTGCCTAATGTGAGCAAAACAGTGTGAGCTTCATGAATATGCAAGACATATGCTGATGACATAAAACGGAAATCTTATAGGAGGTGAAAATGCGACTGTAATTCCTTAAAGCAGTTTTTGCTGCAGTTTATATTTAGCATGTTGGAAGTCCGGTGCAAACTTACATAGAAAGTGAACGAGAGAAAGGAAGTGAACCTGTGCCAATGTGAACATTACTGGACTCATAAGTGGAAGAGAAAAAAAAATCAGTTGGACTATTGCATCAGGAAGAAAACAATTATTACACAATCAAACCCAAAAACCATGACTAATTTAAATATTTTAAGTTGGTTCTTTTAAATTAATGATTGATATGTAATGTTTTAACTTCAATTATTTTAATCTCTTTATGTTTTTCCATGTTTTGAAGCACTTTGAGAGATGCCCAATTATAAAGTAGGCTATTGATAATCATTATTACAATTCATATTATTAATGGCATTATCACCTTTGGGTCTGTGGCTTAGAACTTCATCTTCCTTTTACAGCCATCATCCCCTCCAAACTGGCAGCACAAAATACAATTTTCCATATTAAACAGGGCAATAGGTCAAGAGTTTTGCACGTTATCCATTGCTAATACTATCTTTGGAGATTACCAACAGTATGCACTCTAAATCTGCATATTATTTTATTATTGTTATTATTATTATCGGCATAGGCAATTTAGCAGTTCTTATTTGGGATCTTCCAACAGTAGACTTAGAGAGATTTATTTTGTCATTTTGTGTACACGAGTGTATACAACGAGAAATTTCGTTTAAAACAGCTCTAGACAATTTCGTTTTTTTTGAAGTGCAGCCTTGAAAACAAGGAGCTGTTCTTGGCCGCTGCTTTGGAGCGCCACCATGGCAACGTATACAGTGAACCCTTTATGTTCTAAAACTGGCCCCAAAGGAAGCATATACAATGTAAAATTTGTGGGACCAAACATGCAGGCTTGGGCAACCTAATAATTAAATAAAGGATCCTGAGAGGAGTAAAACTAACCAAACTGAACAGACAGAAACCAATGAAAAACTGTGCCTGCAATTCCATTTTATTTTAAAACAGTAGACTATCGAAGTCTGTTTTTGAAAGCAGATCATAAAAAACGATCTACTCTTCTGGGTTCAGAAAAAAGTTTCTGTTTTTTTTTTTTTTAAGCAGAGGGCTTTGGGGTATACTCAGGATTTCTCACTCTCCATATTCGGTAGCTTCTCTTGATTCCACCAGGCTCATCTGAACACGGCATCTTCACCTAAACCTTTCTTTAAATTATGCGCTAGCTTTAGATGAGGTTTAAATTGACAATTAATGTACATTTAGCTTATTTTACTTTAGTTTAGTTTCATTTTGTTTAGTTATCATTGGGATTTTGTGTAATAGAACAACCACAGCAGAACATCATTTTGAAGTGGAAAACTGAAACTCTCACTGTATCTCATCCATATATATTCATGTTGCCTTTAAGATTCCTGTTATTGGTAAGTACGTCATTCCTTTTGTTTAATTCAGTCTCAGAAGATTCAAGTAGCACAGCTGTCATGATTCATAAAGCTACTGTATGTCAGTGATTCTTTAGTAATAATGTACAGTGATGCTGTGATCATTTCCTTTTGAACAGCTCTAGTACAGGGATATTTTACTAAATAGTAGTTACAGTGTTACACAATAGTTTTGTTGATACTGTGTTGTTGAACTCAGTCATAATTTGTTCTAACACAGATGAGCAAAGCTGCAGCGGACTCAGCTCAGTACAACTTGATGTGGTTTTCTGATTTGCCTCTGGAGTGTGTTGATCACTCAGTCAGGATGCGACTTTTTTGTAATCAAACTTTCCATAGTCCTTGGAGCACCTGGATAACCCACCATGGTGAGTCTTTATTACTAAGATCTGAGGGATCTTAATAAACTATGTATTTTCTTTTTTTAGTAATTGACAGATTCTTTTATTTTTAAAAGCTAGTGAGTGTTTTGACACCAAAAGTGAGTCCTATACTTTAATGTCTCCTAGTTCTTTGCTATAATGTCTCATACACTTCTGTCATTCTACATGTATAATGCACTTTTCCCCAATCTCTGATCATCAAAATACTACATAGGAAAGCTTTAACTTTGCTAATATCTAGTCTGGGGATAAAGTTTAGCAACACATGTGTTTGATAAAGCACAGATCCTTTTTTTTCAGATCCATGTCTTTCTGTGTTCTAGGAATTAAAGCAACGGATAAGTCCCAGATTTTTCCTTCCGGAAAGATACTGAAGGAAGGAAGCAATGCCACGTTCTGCTGTATTCCCAGAGTGAATGCAAACATAGCAAAAATCTCCTTCGAAAGAAAATCGTTCGATCTTCTCAACAACACATATGGGGTTAAAGCTATTTTAGTAACTAATCTGACAATTCCAGACAGACTATTCAAATTTCTGGTACTGGTCTGCAGTGAATCAACAGGAAACACTGTCGATACATTTAACTACATCAGCTGTAAGTTTATAGCATTAATCTATCTACACATGATCTATACCTTCTTAGGTACATCTAGTTCATCATAACTGTGCACACATATAGTACTTAGACCTAAAAGTAAATTAATAGCTAACAATTTGTTGCATTTATGGACCCTGGTGGGAAGCCACCATCATATTAATGCCGTTCCTAACACCCTGATGTGTAACATTTTTTTAGATATTAATAAAGACATTCATGACAGACATTTTTTGCTCCGTTTTTGTTTCCCACAGTTCCTCCTCAAAAGCCCAGAAACCTGAGCTGTACAACTTCAGACATGAAAAGCATCAATTGCACCTGGGACCTTGACAGGAAACGGGATAAATATGATCGCAACAAGCAAAATATAACACTCCATATTGAGTAAGCAAAACCAACAGCCATGCATTTATAAACAAATGTGGTTATAGCTGTATTTTAAGGCTTTTATCTTTTTAAACAATTTATTCATTTTATTTACAAATAAATTCGGATATGATGTTTGTAGTTTTAAAAACTTCCAAAGTTTTATCGATTAGATTTGAAACTAAACCTTAGCTTTTAAGGAAACAGGTTTTCTTTCAAATCTTTTAGAAGTGGTTGTCATCATCAGTTCTCAAGAATATCTAAAGATCTATGAAGATTTTCTTTGGACTATAGATTCCTTTAATCTTATTTTGTTATTTTATTTTATTTACAGGAATTTGTTGTTTTTACTTGAGAAATAAAAAAAAATGGGTATGGAGGACAAAGAAGTGTCAGGTTTAAGTGACTAAAAAAAAATCTAAATAGGAGTATAAATCATCATCTTTATCAAAATAAAAGAAAAAACTACATGTTTAGATGATCATATAATATTTACTTATATCATCATGTCTGTCACAATATGATAAAATATTGATGAAATTCAATTAGCTTGTCTATGATCTGAGGGGATATTGTATGCCTCAGGCATCAAACATTTAAAAGCAGCATTATTTTTATCTAATATTAAAAGATAGATTAGATCAGCTGTTCACATTCTGGATTGGAACAGCTGAACATCNCATCCATCCATCCATCCATCCATCCATCCATCCATCCATCCATCCATCCATCCATCCATCCATCATTGCACTATGGGAGGAAGCCATGTATGAATGGGAAGAACTTACAACATTTTAAGCAGAAAAACCATTGGTCAGGAATGAAACCCAAGACCATCTTGCAGCAAGGAGACGGTGCTACATACTGAGCCACCTTGAAGTCCAAGGTTGATGATGTGGATCAATTATTTTGGATTTTTTTTCATCTTTATAATCAAATTGTTAATCATGTAAATATCTATATTAAAATGTATTGACATATTGCTGCATAACAAGCTCTATCCAGAAAATATACATATATATATTTTCTTAGAAAAAAAAAAATTGAAAGAAGTTTTGTACAAGAGTAATAAAAATGGTTAGTCTGGTTAAGTGAAGATGAAGGTCTGGCTTTTTTTTTAGATAATGTATGTGCATAGCTCAAGGCTTGTGCTCAACACATCTTAATTCTGATTCATATTTTTTTAGATACTAAACTTGATATGAGATTTCAATTCATGCCTCATAAACATTGTTTGGATATTTCAGTCTTTGCATTTATCTTGCTTCAAAATGCAGGAGCACAGACCATCCTCCCATCAGCTGTCAGCCACAGTCTTGTGTTTTCCAAGCAGATCAACAGCAGCAGGAATACAAAATCAGAGTGGAGATAAAGGACAAGCTGGGTGAGGAGAATGCAACCTACAGCTTCAACATTGCTGAAAGAGGTGATGCATAATTTTAACATTAAACCAACAGGCTGTTTTATGTTGCTCATAGTTTATGCAATTTGTATATATATTTTGACGTCGTTGACAAATAAATTTTTCTTTTTTTGCAATTGTATAATTTCAACCTGACAAATTTTGCAAAAATCTAAATGTAATTTCGTGTAAGACAAAGTATAAGGTTAATTGCAGTACCAGCTCCTGAAGTGAGAATCACAGCTCAGCAGAAAAGCTCTGAAGATGAATGCAGAAAAGGCTTAACCCTTTATCTAGGAGAAAGACAGAGTTAACCACTGAAAGACAGAACCAAGTGGGTCATCTATTGCATGTCTGCTTCTAGCTTACAGCCTAAAACATAATGGAACAATGAGGTCTCTAATGTATCAGGAAGATTGTTTATTTAGGGATTTGTATATGAGAAGAAGAATTAAAATTTGATTATCTCCCTACTCAGTTTTTATCAGAACTCTGGCCACAGCAGTTTGAATCGGCTAAAGCCTTCTTACTTCAATATGTGGACTTTCTGATAGTAAAGAATTAAAATTAAAATTCAATATTCCAGGGGTAAAAAACAAACAAACTGTTTTTCTTTCTATGCAGACAAGAAGAACAAATGGTTTGGTCCCATTGCCACATCTCTTACGACCTTAAACAGTTCCTTTGAAATTTGCCTAATTGACACTATTCTTTTATTTCACACTTTGTAAGTTGAGAGTCTCAAGTAGCCTTCAATTATCAATCCATGCCTCCCTGTTTACCTGGGGTTTGTATTGCCAAACAGATGGGACATTTCTTCTGAGCTGCTTATAAAAATGGGAAAGGCAAGAGAACAGGCTATTGAAGTAGCATTGAGGTGTGGTAATCTTCATACGTTATTTAGTGGCGTAATGCTTCCTTGAATGTGGCTGTATGAACAGTCTGACCAACAATGACAAGTTTAAAAGAGCCACCATGGCTGTAACAAGCAAAGGCAGGGAGGGTGAGGGCCAAATGTTATGATTCCACAAGCAGGAGAGAGGTTAAAATTAATTTATGTTGCTTTCTTGATTGTCACTGATGCTTAAGATGGTTGCTTTTGGTATACATGCAGTGTCACCTGCCTTGACGTGGGAGAAGGTGATTGCTGGAGTGACCAATGTCAGCCTGTCCTTAAATGTATCTGTACTGAAGAACATGACTTGTCAGGTTTGGCTAGATACAGAAAACACAAAGGAGGTAATTTCCATCTTGTTTAACTTCTGTGTAGATTTCAATTTTACTGCAGATTAACTAATCTTTGATTTATTTTTTTACGTTTCAGTCTTTGCAAAGAATAACCATTGTGAATGAAAAGGGTCTTTGCAATGTCCTATTGGATGGCCTGCATTTCAACACAAGTTACTCTGCTAGGGTGCGCTGTTCTGTCAATGGCATTTTCTGGGGTGAATGGACTCCCACCACAAAATTCACAACAAGTAAGCTTTATTACAGAGTTTTTTACTTGTCTATCTGGCTAGATTAAACTACAAGTAGCCTATTAATCTAGAATGCATTTTTTTCTATTTTTCTTTTTTAACTATGTCTCACTTTTATTTTCCTTGAACTAACAATGCTTCTTAGACCCATTAGTAACCTTGGACCTATGGAGGAAAATACAGTCCAACCGTAGTTCAGACACTCGTAACGTTACTCTCCTTTGGAAACCTGTAAGTTTAAATAGTCTTTTTTTGTGTGTGAATTAAGTAAAAGTTTTAAAAATAACAAAAAGAAAAAAAATTCCTCTTCTGAACATGTTTCAACTTTAAGCAATCTATCCCCAGCATGTTTTTAGCAAAGAGATCAAAAGTTACAAAATCAAGTGGTCACGTGGAGGTCAACCTCAGACAGAGGAGAAGGATGGAGGAGAAAGCCAGGCAGACATCCTCATTGGTCCTGAATTGAGTAACATAACTGTCCAGGCTGTTCCTAAATTTGGGTCCTCTATTCCTGCTCACATCACTATTCCACCAAAAGATGAGTCTGGTAAGGTTTTTCATTATTTTACTGAATTTTACTTCAACCACAGCTAAAGGGGATTTTCAAATAAATGATCCACCAGGTTGTTGTTGATGTTTGCATGTGTTATAGCATCGATACGTTATCAGGAGCTAAAATATGAAATGATTTTTTATGCACTCTACTGTATATCCAGTTGATAATTCTGGTCACAGCACAATGTACTGCACTAAGCAGCTCAGATATTTAAATGGTGAATGACTGATGTTTGTGTCCATTCAGAAATCCCTCAGTTAAAGAAGCACCTGAACAATATCTCAGCTGCTGGTTTGCATCTGTGGTGGGAAAAGCAGATCTCTGTCACCTGTGGTTACACTGTTGTGTGGTGCAGAAGAACTGCAGCCAGCAATTTAGATTGGATCAAAGTACCAAAAGAAAACAACACTTTGTTTATACCTACAGGCAGGTTTTTCTATTAATAGTATTTCATTTGCTTTTCTCTTAACTTGGTCATTTATTTTAATTTCTATATGTTATTTTAGAAGGAAATTTCAAACGGGGTCACAGGTATTCATTCAATATTTATGGATGCTCAGAAAATGGTGACAAGCTACTAGAGATACAGACTGGATACATGCAAGGGAATGGTGAGTTTTTACTAAAGGAGGGGGTTTTTAAGGGTCAGTTTTTATTTTTGTCAATTTAATAATAGAATATCTAATTAATAAGAAGAGCAAAGGGGGCTTAAAGTTACAGAGGGCAAAATTGTCCTCATAATTTTATTTTAGAATAATTGCAATGTAATTTCAGTATTATTTCATTCTAACTACATATATGTATTTGCGTATATACGCATATATATACTGTATATACAAATATATATATTTACTTATTGACCAGAGATAAACCAAATTTTGTTTCTACCTAGACCCCCGGCAGAAGTCTGTAACTATAGATGGTCTGCAGCCGCACCAGGACTATGTCTGCTGTGCGTGTGAAGTGACTAAAGTTGGGCGTGGATTACCTGACACCTGGATGACTGAAACCAATAGTGAGCCTTATTCGATCCACTGTCCTAAAAATATCGCAACAATCTTACCATAAGAGCACTTGATGAATACGATTCAAAATTTTATTTAAAAGGTTCTTAAACTAGACTGAGCCTTCTCTGCTTCTCCCTTGTAGATGACCTCCTCTTGGTGCAGATTTTGATCCCCATCATACTATTTCTCACCTGCATCATTATTCTGTGGGCACACAGAAAAAAGTGAGCATAGGATTATTTGGATTTACCCCAGAATGTTTTGCACTCTTATAATTCAGAAAATATGTTTTTTGTGTTTTTCAACCAGGCTGTGGAAAGAGTTAAAGAAGATACTTGTTTATCCTGCTGGTATGAACATCAAAGATCTACAGTTTGAGAGTTTCCTGTTTGAGGTATGATTAAACATCTAACTAAGATATAAGTCTTTTATCAGGAGGAAATGATCTATTCTGCATATAAAACAAAAACAAAACAAAAAAAAACCCAAATGGAATATAGGAGGTTGAAAAACAGCAACAAATTGTTCTATCAAGCTGTTTAAAAAAATGTAGATTTCAAATCCACAGTTCTGGTCAGAATTTGGCTCTCACATTTGATTGGCATTGATCTCCAATTAAGATTGGGCTTTTAATTTGAAAAAATATTTGGTAGAACTTTACGATGTCCAAGGTTGCCAAAGTAGTTATTTGAATCAGCTTTTAATTATAGTCCACAAACTCTACATTAAAATTAAATCAGAGCTTAAGAAATGTTTTATTCTAGCCACCGTCATCCATTGCAAAATAAATGTTATCCGTTCTGTAACATTGTTCTGCTGGGAGCCCCAATTGGAGGAAAATTCAACGATCTTTCTATTGGTGTGCGTTGTTAAGTTGCTTCATACTCTTCACACTTGACAGTTGATACAGGTTGTGTTGCATTTGAAACATTTGTTGTGGATAAATAATCCAGCCCTGGCCCGATAAACAGTGTGTTTTTGGATGTTTAATTAATTTAAGGCATTAAAACATACGATTGTGCTTCAAAGTGTACAAACCCTCCCATTAAAGAAAATTATAAATTCACATTAGTAATTCAAATAACACAAAACTAAAAATAGTAATAACAAGTACAAATGTACTCAATGATAATTTATTAATATAAGATATTGATTTCAAATTTTGACTGCAGGGTGGTGCACTGGATAGCGCTGTTACCCTGCAGAAAGAAGGTTTGATTCCCGGCCTGGGGTCTTTCTGCATGGAGTTTGCATGTTCTCCCTGTGCATGTGTGGGTTCTCTCCGGGTACTCTGGTTTATTCCCACAGTCCAAAACCATGACTGTTAGGTTAATTAGATTCTCTACATTGTCCTTAGGTGTTAATGTGTGTGTGAATTGTGATGTGTCTCTGTGTTGCCCTGTGACAGACAGCAACCTGTCCAGGGTGTACCCTGCCTCTCGTCCGTGGACTGCAGGGGATAGGCATTCGGCCCACCATGAAACTGACACGGACTAAGCGAGAGAAAATGAATGAATGGATGGATGGATTTTTAATTTTTCATAAAGATAAAAATTCTAAAAAGCAAACTTTCCAAAAAAAATGAAAGTACCTTGCTCATAAACAGGGTACTAACATGCCTGTTAACAGGTGGAGAGGTCTGATTGAACATTTCCTGAACATTAAAGAAAACACCTGATTTACAGTAGGTGATTGCCTCAAAGTGATGTTCAACAAAAAATTAGTTCAGTAGCTCCATCAGGCTTGTATACTTGTGTTGATGGGGGAAACAAATGTCTAAGTCTTATTTAACAAGAAGTTGAGGTCTGGTGTTCTTCATTCAAGCCAGCATCTATTAATCCTTGAAAGGAAGAAAGTCTTTACTAATGTTCCTTTTCTGGTCACACAGGATTTCACTAACTACTTAAAGCCTGCAAAAAGCTGTGAATGTTTTTCACATGCAGGTAATCAAAAACAGGTTACAGACAGTGGAATGAAACAGTAAAATGTTGAATAAACCTTTAGAGAAAGGAGTCTGAACTGTGATGGAAAAAAATCTTCTCTTCCATAATGTTCTATTCTGTTTAAAACAACCCCTTTCACCCAGAAACTGTGTAGCCTTGCAGGCCAAAAACACCCTTGGGTGAATACTTATAGAAAATAAGTAAATGAAAATCAGCACATAAAATGAAATATTATGTGGGGAAAATAGATTTTCCTATTTTTTCTGTCTTTCATGGAAGGGTATGTAAATTTTCAAGCACAACTGTTTCTAGCTATTAAAAATTGTGTTTCAAAAGGAAAAAGAAAAACTCGCTATAATTTCTCTCTGACATCTACGGGTAAGTGGAAAATCCCCCAACCCACAAATTTGAATATCAGAAGATCTTTTAACCTTTTGTGATGTCATAAAGAAGCTATTACGGCATGATCATGAAAAACAAGAGTTCTGTCTTTGCATCATCCCAGTGTCTGACTTGAACCCTTGAGAATGTTTGGACTAAAAATGTTTGACCTTTTGAACGAATCACTTAATCTATGCTTTAAGAAAATTAGTCATCAGGTCTCATTCCATACCTACGGTAATTCTGGCACTGAAGCAAATATTTTGTATTTTTGTGCTTATGTGTTATATGATAGATACAATGAATGAAAAAAAATAGAAATGTTCATTTCATATTTGTGTAAAGAAAATGTTGCTTTCCATAACTTATTTATATATTTACCCCTCTTTACTCAGACTGATAAAAAGTTACACTCTGAGAAAGTGGAGGAGCCCATCAGCAGTGACATTGAAGTCCTGAACATCACATCTTTGAGGCATGAGCACACAACCCTGAGGAATCCCAAACAGACAAGCACAATGTGCTCACTTACTTCTTATTCACCTGTTCCTCCTTCCTGTGTCCAACTCCAGACAGGCTACCGCCCTCAGTGTACCGCCTGGCTCTGTGAGAGACCAGAACCTCAGCAAATGATCTGTGTTTCAAACTACAGCTACTTAAATCCCATCACCGAGCCAAATGAAGTTGAGTTTACTAAAAATGAACCCAGCTTAGAGACTTCTGACAGCATTCAGGGACCATATGCAGTATATTGTTATACCTGTGATAGTCAGTTTTAACAAAACCTGACAAAAATATGAATTGATTTTGCTTTAAGAGAACGGCATCCTAAATTTAAAACATACTGGGGGTGTGTTTAACAAGTATCCACATGAAAGGAACTTAATTCATAACAAACATGGAGGGAACTAGATTTCCCGAATTTTATCGACATGTTTTAAAGTCGTTTCATTAAGTTCTTTTCATGTGGATACTTGTTAAACACACCCCCAGTATGAATGAGGTATTCCAGATGCAAGATGGAGATTAGCTGAAATGCTGTCAAAAAGTGGACTAAACTGTTTGGCAACTGAAACAAGTGTAATGCTGAAAGTTGATCTGAATCTCTGGTGTAACCATCTGGTTTTCAGTTCACACATAGTAGTGAAAAATTGACGTGTTTTATGTCCCATTTTTGTAATAGTCCAATACTAAATAATACATGATTACCTAATTTTCTTGGAAATACAAATCTTTGAAGTTTGTCATACATTTGGTTTTAGTTCATTAGAGAAATTACCAAGGCTTTGCTGTAAACAAGACCAAATTTTACGGTCGGGTAAAGTCTGCAGGGGGAGCAGGGTCTGCAAGGTCTGCTTTTGTTTTAAAGCTGAGTGTAACTGCTTTATAGAATTCCACCAGTAATCTAATGTTGCCTACTACGTGAGATATAATACAACCTTAATTAAGTAAAAAAAAGTGAATAAGTTAAGCTCAAAACATATTAGGCTATTTAGACTTGTTAAAGACTTAATTTCACAAGGTCCAAAAGGAATTAAAAAAGTTAATAAAGCTAAGTTAAAAGAAAACATGTTAAGTTCCTGCATCAGTATTAATGTTCTAATGTTGTAACAAAAAAAAAATTCTGTAAGTTTTGTTCACAAATTTCTTAAAGATGGATTCTTTGTATTTTTTTAAACTGTTTTAGAGCAAAGTGACTGTTTTTGGTAATCACATTAATCTTCATTTTTGCCATGAAAATAGTTTTTTTTTTTTTTATGTTACAAAGTAATATTATCTTGTTTTGTCCTCCAGTAACACTCCTGACTTGACCGTTTGCATTTCAAAGTATTTTTCTGAGTGTCCTATAAAGTGTTGAATGCCGCTGGAAAAGTCAACTTCCCAAATTCCTGCTAATCATAGTTGCTGATTTGTAATTCCTGTCAGTGACAAAGGAAATACATCCATTTCACTGTAAACAAGTGTGAGTTATTGTGAAAGTATAAAACAGTTGCTCATAAGCTACTGATGTGTTGAAACAAACCACTCAGTTTGATTATTGTGGTTAAAACAAGTCAAGAAGCTATTGCTCTTGTTGCTTTTAACATGAAGGGAATTTTGCGAGAGCAAGAGAGCTCCATTTATATGCGTTTTAATTGTAATATTATAATCATAATATTTTTGTGTACTTATATTGCTAATCACAAGTTTGCATTTACAAAGAACTTTAACCACAGAAGTTCAATCATGTGCAGAACAAATGAATTTGAGAAGTGTTTTGCTGCCCTCACTTAACCAAAACAATGTCAGTTAAACTAGAGTTACTATCGCTAGTGTTTTTGTTTTAAGTGGATCAAGGAGGTTGAACAAGTATCAGATGATAAATCTGTCAGTTGTGAATTTAACACATTTTCTATTGTGTATCTGCATGTGCAGTTCCCAGGAAGTTGGCTCTCCTGTTGTTGAAAAGGTTTCCCCTCCATGTTAGAGAGTAAAGGGAGATTAAGTTGAACGCTTTCTGCATTGCATTTTATTGTGCCCCATACTCAGTTTCTTACATGTTGATCTTCAGAGGGCTGCAGAAGGAGGAGCTTACCCAGCGCTTAAGTCATGTGAAAACCACTACTAGTTTCATGTAATGTCAGTGGTTTTCTTACCATGTGGCTGTTTTTCAAAATGATTTTATCTTATGTTCATCTGAGCTGATTCTTATCTTTCGAGTTGTTTATCATTTTGTACATGAGATTGAAACCTGTTACATTCCTGCCATTCTGTTTATTTTATGCTAAATGTATCTTTTGTAAATAAAAATCAGAACAGCAGAAACCAGTAAGTTAGAGCCCCAGGTCACTGAAGCACATTACAAGCTCAATAACAAGTTTGGACTATGTGGACACTATGTGATTTCCCAAAATCACAGAACTGGTCCAGAAAGGAAAGAACTGTTAGAACTTGGCAGTCTGTGAGGGGTAATCAAAGGAGACATATTCCCTCCCTACTCATTCAATTTCAAACTCTGCAGTTACTGTAGTTGTTTTTGTTGTGTATTGTTGCAAAAAAGTTAAAAATCCCACTTGAATATTTGGATTCAGAATGGACACAGTTTTCTAACATGCTCTTGCTTAATAGTTATTTTCCTTACTGAACATCTGTCAGATTTCAGTAACTTTTGTTGAATTTCTCTCCATTATTGATTTGTCGCTTAGTGTTTAAGTTAAGCCACACCACCTGAGACCAAGGAGTTCTGAGACATGGCTAAGTCCTTTAGAGGCCAAGATCAAATCCATATAAGGCCTTATTCTCTAACTCAAAACTTCAATTGAATTCACTTTATTTATATAGCGCACATTCACAACATGTAAACAAGGAACTTTAGAGAGACAATTCATAAATGTCTTGTTCTCGGCCTCTAAAGGTCTTGGCCTTGTCTTGGTAATCCTTAGTCTTTGTTGGTGTGGTCTTTGCTACAACACTATTGACCTTCAACTAAAACTAAAAAAACATATATCATGCTAAAGATGCCTTTTCTTCCTTCAGCAAATGGTAACCAATACGTTAAAGTGTTTTTCTATGCAGACTGTCAAACCAGAGTCAGAGCATTCCAAACTGATTATGTAGACAAGCTTATCGTGAATGTTCCATTAGTGATAAACCTGCAGGCCTATTTGTGTGCTACACCATTATTTTGTTTTTAAGAAAATTTGACATATTTAACCAAATAATGCAAACAGATTACATTGGAATTAATAGATCTAGGTAATGCTAAATGTGTTTTGATTAAGATTTTGCAATGGTGAATAAACCACTAGAAATCCTGAGGTATGTTGGCTCCAGTTCTGGCATCTTGCAGTTTGATCTTCAAAGCCAGGAGCATTTTAATAATGATAGGACTTCATGATTAAGATTTATTTGTTTTTTACAATGTATGTAGCTGGCAATAAAAATAAAATCAAGCTTTGACTTAAGCATGAAGTCTGTGAGTCCTCCTTTCAATGCTTGAACAAATCCTACAAAAAGGCATGTATATAAAAGTAGGAAAAGAGGCTCCATCAGGTCTAATAACTAAAATGACCAGGCATAACATTATGATACAGTACCTAATGGTGTTGGATCACCTTTCTTCTCAAACAGACCAGATTAAGTAAGGCATAGATTCCACTAAACTTGGGCTATAGCATCTTGCACGATGATGTTAAAAATAGATCCTTTATGCATGTAAGTTGCATGGTGGAACCTCTATAGATCAGATTTAGATTACATTGTAATTTAGAGATGTATCTACAACCAATGAAATGAACTAAGTGGAAAGGTCATGACAGACATGGAGGGAACTAGATTTCCACCATTTTATCTACAGGATGTAAAGTTAGAGTTAGAAAAAGAAAAATGAAAGATGCAAGATGGGGATAAGCAGAAACGCTATCAAAAACTGGACTAAATTGTTTGGCAAATAAAGGAAATGTGACGCCGAAAGTTGATCTGAATCTCTGGTGAAACCATCTGGTTTTTAGGTCACACATAGTAGTAAAACGTTTAATATTCTTATGTCAGATTTATTATAATAGGCCAATATAAAATAATACATGATGAAAGTTTGGCATGCATTTCAATATACCCTCACTGCATTCCTTACTCTAACAAGGGAACATTAGTATGCAAACAGTATCATGAAAGTGAAAACCATAACACAATACATACATCAGGAAAACAGTTAAGAAAGAGTTTAATTAAGACTGGGTTACTGACATCCACAATCTAGGTATCTGTTGACAAAAAAAATAAAATTCACCAGCAACATTTTTGATAAAGATATACTTTACAGAAAACAATCAGCATTACTTGCAGTCTGCAAATAATGCAAATTGAAAAATACATGCCACTTTATGTTGGTCTATGGATTTTTTTTAGATTAGTTCATTGGAGAAGAAAAACAAAGGTTAGACACTGTTGGAAAAGAAAAGTTCACAATTTCCTACTTATCGTAGTTCCTTGTTTGTAATCCCTCAGTTACAAAGAAAAAACACCTATTTCACTATAAACAAGTGAGAGTTATTGCACAAGTATAAAGCAGTTGCTCATAAGCTACCCATGTGTTAAAAAATAAGTTAAAAGTTGTTTAAACTAGTCAAGAAGCTGTGGCTATTGACACTTTTGATGCAACTCCAGCAATAAATGCTACTTAGAAAAGAAGCCTGTTCAATTGAGCCCATATTACTTTGTCTTTAAGACACTTAAGCATCAATGGTTTCACACTTTTTAACTTTCAGTGACAACAAATTAGAGGTTGTGGTATTATATTCCTGCAGCTCCTGTGAGCCATCTCCTCTTGGGCCCTTTAGTGTTTTTATCACATTTCACAGCTGGCATAAATAAAGCTGACTCCTTCAAAATGACATTTTGAAGCAGTAATTCATGCCTTCATGACAACTCAGTTTGATTATTGATATTGTTCTCTACATTGGAATCAACCAGTCGACCCTCAAGCGCTCTAAAGTCCCTAGATTATTGAACAATCGCCCGTTTTATATTAGAATTGTCTTTCCTTGTTCATATTTATAAAACTTGCCTATAGACACATTCTTGTTTCTTAGCTTTAACATATGTTGAGACTGTTGCCGTATTATTATGTTTTATTATTTCCATTATCGTTGTTCTTTTTCATATTCTTTGTTGATTCTTGTGCACTATCAGGCCTAATAACTGAACTGACCGGGCATAACATTATGATACCTAATAATTGAATTCAGATTATATTCCTGAAATAAGCACATTTAAAACTAATAGGTTGCACAAGGGATGGGTGGGCCAAACTTATCCCTCTACCTTACAAAGTAAAGCTTGGGAGGCAGCTATTTTAATACACAAATCTGTACCCGTTAAGTTTTTCTGCACTGCTTTTAAGCCTTTCAGACTTCCAGTTTTTAAAATATTATCAGTTGGATGGCAAAGGGAGGAGCTTCCCCAGGTGTCTTTCATGTGAAACAATCGCCGGTTTCAATGATGAAATAGTGGTGGTTAACCTACCGTCTGGCTGTTTTTTAAAAGATGAGCGTTATGCATTTCACAGAACTGATGCTTATCTTTTAAACTGTGCGTGAGAGTGAAAGCCATTGCATCCATTTAATGCTCTTGATATATAAAAACAAATCTTGTGTAAGAAAAAATTTTTAAAGGAAAGCTCTGTTTACACCTTAAAGCTTTCTCTCTCCAGTTCTTTTTCCTGAAAAGAGATCTCTCAAGAAAAAACTTTTTAAATAACACTTCATAATGAAAATGCATTAAATAATAATAAGACATGACATCAGATTCTGATAGAAATTGTAATCTTACTCAGAGAGTAAGATTACATGCATGCAGCTGCCCTCTGTAACTCAGAAGGCAGCTGCTTACCAACCGGGCTCACTTCTCGTGAAGAGGCCCCAATAAACAGTAGGGGAAGCACGTTATACATCTCCAGTATGCCACATCATCACATCATTACATCATACATGTTTGCAGAGGAGGAGACATCCATGGCACCAGCCTTATCAAAATATTACACTTCGTTCTTAGCTGAAGGACACCGCTCTCATTCCATTCCCAAATCTTTGCAATGTACAAAATGAAGATTATAACTGTATATTCGGACAGAGGAACTGTCTTAATTAGATTAACTACTGGGGAAAACATCAATTCTGAAACACAACAGGCAGGTAATATTAGGGTGTAAAAAACTCACACATCATCAATTATAATTATCCTAACAGTTCCCCCTGAAAAGGTCACATTTTTAAAGTCACCTTTAAAACAAAAATTGTATGTCCACAAACCCATTTATGTCTGCTCATGAAAAGGATATTAAAATAGAAGAAAAACTTTAAGCACTGTTTCTTTCATCATATAATCATGGAATAAACAATCAATAGTCCCCCTGATGATGTAGCATTAATCAGGGATCAAAAGTTATCACAATCAAAACTTCACAGACCAAATGTTGTCACTCAAGACCACAGTTTCAGCATTTAACTACAATTTGGGTTTCATCTAATTAAAGGAAGGCTGTTTTAGATTCCTATGTGAACATTATTTTAATTTACATTAGACTAGCTCACCTAAGCCTATAACTGTAATAAGGTCAAACTCATCTACTCTCACTCCCACCTGGAGGCCTCCTAAGTGTGACCGCTCATCATGGATAAACCATCCGCCTAAATTTACCAATCATTCAGTCACAGTAGGGGACGTCACAGGAAAGGCCGGGCTGCTCTCCACCGGGAAAGCCTACCTTATCTAGAAGGTAGTAAAAACATGGGTGACCCCAGGGAAATCCCACTCTCAGCCAATCTGAGCAAGAAAAAAACCCGTTTTGAATCTGACAATTATCATCACCAATTAAAGAACCTTTAAGCCAGTCAGGTTCTGAGTCTTTCTTTATCAAAGCAAAGGTGGGTCTGGAGCAAAATGTTTCCATGTTCATCATCGAAACAAATTAAAATGAATCAATCACATAAATCACAATGAGTAAAAATCAAGAATTATCCTAGTCCGAGTTAAAGGCAAGTGACAAAAGCTGTCTATTCCCCAAATTCTTTCAGTGTCTCTATCACTCAACAATCAATCAATCAGAGTCTCATATGGTCTCCTCCACAGCCCCTTTGGTCTCCATGCTGTCCAATGGCAGTGTAGATGCTGAATCCACGTGGTGGTCCTCATGGCTCACATCACAGTACAGCAATCCGTTCCTCCAGGATCCTCCGACACACAAGAAAGTTCAATTACTGTTCTTATCAAGATAAGCACTGTCTTTACTGAGTAATTCATCATTTACTCAGTACTTAAGTGCAGTCACAACCAGATATTCTTATCCACAATTACTTTCACTTTATCTCTAAAGTCTTCATTAATATCATTACATTTAAATGATCTGTCATCCGAATGTTTATTCAGCAGATTGTTTCAGGATCTAATCAGAAAACATCAAACATGTCTGACCTTTCAATGGCTGGCAGCTGAAGGTTATCTGTAACAGAATGTATTCAGCCTGAACATCCTATTGATGTCTCAGCTCATTATTTCGTGCATATAAGCTGAAATCACCACAACTAACATGGATTAATCTCCTTTAAGGATGTACATCAAAGCTGTAAATAAATCTACAGATATTTAGAAAGCATTTAACCCTGCTTCACACATTTTAACATTCAATTCAAGTTTAATGTAAGGAAAACTTTGAAACTATTTTTAATCTGAAGCCTACAGCTAATCACAGCATACTTAAACGCAATTTTAGTTCACTCTTATCCTCTCCCCACTGAAAGTGATAAAAGTTATTCAATCTCTAAGAATAACCAGCTTGGCACTGATCCCCCCTTTAAAATTCCCTCGTCAGACTTAGTAGCTTTGAATGTCAGTGTATGAAAGAACGTAATTCCCACGTGGACCTTTGCAAGTCCTAAATGTCTGAAACTATGAGTGTGTGTCTTAGTGAGTTAATTTATGAATCTATATGAGTGGATCTATATGTGGGGAAACTGGTCAGGAGCCATCCAGCAACTGGTCTTGGAAGAGAAAGTGTCTCTTGAAGCATTGATCCTCTCCAACATGCAAAACAGTTCAATGTTAGGACAAGTCCATTAGGTTACCCTCTGTTACCACAGCAGCTTTGAACCATAATAGTTTTGGGGCCAAGGTGACCCTACACCCCCTGCAGGATAAGCCTTACCTGTATGATCAGCCTTATATCACTGAGGCAGCAGGAATCAGAAGGAGTCGTTCCTTCAAATGAAATGTCATATTTAAATGTTCATCTCTTCAGAACACAGGATTGCACTCTGACTTGTTTCTGCCTTCCCAAAACTCAGCAGTTCACAGTTCCTGAAACTGCTGTATTCGACTCCATCTCCTCTATGCAAAGTGTCCAGCTATAGTTCATTGAAAATATCTCCATAAAAAGGTGCCCCGATGTAGAATAGAAAAAGAAAACAAAAAAACTCTTCCAGCATCCCCAGAACCCTTCAATAGTCTGTTGTAGACTGTCTGCATATCTGAACCACATGCAAAAATTTGCAGGGAACCTAACATGTTCCCATATGTGTTTTATCTAATAAGTCACCGTATATAGTCTGCAGTTCCATCTAATTCATTGATTGCAGCTACAGGTGAAGTAAATGCAGGTATTCTCATTACCTCATGCATCGAATGTGTGGTTACCCAGTCCAATCATTAAAAATATAGCTTCTGTAAAGCAAATTTTAAATCAGCTTGCAGTTAAAAATTGTAAAGTTTTAGATCCTGGGCCTGATATTGAAGTGCCATATGCACAATTAACTCATTAATAATCAATATTGCTTATATTGGAAGATGTAATAATTTGTTTCATCATTTGCTTTACAGAAGCTACATTTTTAATGATTGGACTGGGTAACCACACATTCGATGCATGAGGTAATCAAAAATACCTGCATTTACTTCACCTGTAGCTGCAATCACTGAATTAGATGGAACTGCAGACTATATACCACAGCTTATTAGATAAAACACATATGGGAACATGTTAGGTTTCCTGCAAATTTTTGCATCTAGTCAGGGGTTTAGATATGCAGACAATCTACAACAGACTATTGAAGGGTTCTTGGGATGCTAGAAAAGTTTTTTTGTTTTCTTTTACTGTTCTACATCGGGGCACCTTTTTATGGAGAGATTTTCAATGAACTATAGCTGGACACTTTGCATAGAGGAGATGGAGTCGAAATACAGCAGTTTCAGGAACTGTGAAGTGCAGAGTTTTGGGAACGCAATCCTCTCTGAGTAAGATTACAATTTCTATCAGAATCTGATGTCATGTCTCATTATTATTTAATGCATATACATTATGAAGTGTTATTTAAAAAGTTTTTCCTGAGAGATCTCTTTTCAGGAAAAAGAACTGGAGAGAGAAAGCTTTAAGGTGTAAACAGAGCTTTCCTTTAACATTTTTTTCTTACACAAGATTTGTTTTTATATAAAGAGCATTAAATGGATGCAATGGCTTTCACTCTCACGCACAGTTTAAAAGATAAGCATCAGTTCTGTGAAATGCATAACGCTCATCTTTTAAAAAACAGCCAGACGGTAGGTTAACCACCACTATTTCATCATTGAAACCAGCTATGGTTTCACATGAAAGACACCTGGGGCAAGCTCCTCCCTTTGCCATCCAACTGATAATATTTTAAAAACTGGAAGTCTGAAAGGCTTAAAAGCAGTGCAGAAAAACTTAACGGGTAAAGATTTGTGTATTAAGATAGCTGCCTCCCAAGCTTTACTTTGTAAGGTAGAGTGATAAGTTTGGCCCACCCATCCCTTGTGCAACCTATTAGTTTTAAATGTGCTTATTTCAGGAATATAATCTGAATTCAATTATTAGGTATCATAATGTTATGCCCGGTCAGTTCAGTTATTAGGCCTGACAGTGCACAAGAATCAACAAAGAATATGAAAAAGAACAATGATAATGGAATTAATAAAACATAATACGGCAACAGTCTCAACATATGTTAAAGCTAAGAAACAAGAATGTGTCTATAGGCAAGTTTTAAAAACATGAACAATGAAAGACAATGAAAGACAAATTTCTAATATAAAACGGGCGATTGTTCAATAATTTAGGGACTTTAGAGCGCTTGAGGGTCGACTGGTTGATTCCAATGTAGAGAACAATATCAATAATCAAACTGAGTTGTCATGAAGGCATGAATTACTGCTTCAAAATGTCATTTTGAAGGAGTCAGCTTTATTTATGCCAGCTGTGAAATGTGATAAAAACACTAAAGGGCCCAAGAGGAGATGGCTCACAGGAGCTGCAGGAATATAATACCACAACCTCTAATTTGTTGTCACTGAAAGTTAAAAAGTGTGAAACCATTGATGCTTAAGTGTCTTAAAGACAAAGTAATATGGGCCAGATGATGGCCTTAGAAACCCTAGAATACTCTCTTTAAATTATCAGACTTTTTACCTGACAGTATCATGATAGGTCCTTTGCCCTCTGGAGCGCATTCCACGCTCATACATAGGTTGGGACAAGACATCTATGTGATGTCCTCAAGTCGAAAACAATGCTCTGAAGGTAAGAACTGTCACAACTTTTTTGGTCAAAGCAGCCTGGCAGATGTCAGCTCTATAGACAGCATATTATGCAGGATGGATTCTCTGCCTGTAGGTCTACTCAAAAGATGGACATTGAGCCAACTTAGTCAAGTGTTTGTATACAATTAGTCTTTTGTTATCAGACAATTTTAAGTTATGTAAATATTTTTATTGTCCCACAATGGGGAAATTAACTTTGCATTTAACCCATCCCCTTTGGGGTCAGTGGGCTGCCATTGTGTGGCACCCCGGGGAGCAGTGTGGGGTTAATGGTTTCGCTTAAGAACCCAGAGTGTAGGCTGTGGGGATCCAACCAGACACTTGCAACCTTCTCGGAGCACAAGTGCATTGCTCTAACCCTTATAAGGATGACCCTGATTGGTTTTTGACGGCGGGCTTCCATCTTCGTCACTCATGTTATGTGACAGGGAATAACCAGCTGTTGTTCCCTGAGGCAGGGTCAGTCTCTCATAATGTTAAAAAAGGCTGACACCACCCCCTGCTGGCTTGCTAGAGGATGTTGCTTCAGCTCTAGCTCTAGCTAGCTGGTACACTCTAGGTAGCTGTGTACACTTGCTTTCTAATCTCCAATCTGTGGTTTTCTTTGACTCTTTGGAGATGCTGTCCAAATAGACCATGGCACATTTGCAAAAAAGTTTTATTTGTACAAAAATTACCATAAAAAACAGACAAGTCTTTCATAATACTCATCTCTACACAAGAAAAAAGTTCTTCCTGGGCCTCTGCCTCCCAAGTAAAACATCAAAGGAAAAAAAGAGCACAATCTGACCTGCCACAACTATTTACATCATCATCACCTTTGAGTTAAAAAGGTCGCCAGTAACCACTGCTCAGGCAGACTTGCCAATCCATAACATATGTGCTTCCTGATCTTCATTGACTGGTTTAAAGATGCTGAAGAGAAGACCTCTTCTGTTGTGCCCTTATCCTCCGCTTACTTTTCTTTCTGTAAGAGAAAAAAAAAGTAATAATACCTACACCAAAATCCTTATGAGCAGTACTTATAAGAAGAGGTGTGTTTTTCTTTTCTTTTTTTTCCAATGAGCCAATGTTCAAAGTGTAGAAATATACAAAATCAGGTTTGGGAGCAAATGGGAGCCAATAAGATCGGCAACTCTGAAGGAAACCAAATTGAAGCTCCAAAAAGCCCATGAGTCCACCTGTGTCATAGTTTTACCGAGTTGGTGGTGACATCATGCACTTCCAGAGAGTGGCGTAGAGTGCAAGCAAGAAGGCAATGAAAACTGAGGCTGCAATTGTACCTGAAAAAGATATTTAGACACTTTAAAAACAGTAGGGTGTTATAACGTTGCAAGTAATTAGCTTCTTTTCAGTCATTTTAAAACAGTAACATGGTTCCTAGAGAGAAGAAGCAGAAAGTTTCTAGAGTAGAGAGCTTCTAAGAAAAAGCTCTATACAACAGTCCACTTCCTTGATAAAAAATTCAATGGATACAAGCTTTAAATACAGTACCACTAAAGTGAATCTACATGCTTTTAGATGATAATGTAGACAATTATCCTACATCAGTTTTATAAGAATGGGATCCAGTGAATGCCGCAGTGGGATCTCCAGTAATGCCCTAATAACCTTTAATATGAAAATGTGCCAGATCAAAAAACTTGAGACAAAATAACTGTTCAAACATCTTTAACAAATGTACTGTAGTACACATTTGCATTATCAGTGAAGATAAGCAGTCTGGGACAAATTCGTTTTTAGCCTTGATTTAAACAAGTAAAGTATCAGTATAATGGATTCCACAGTTTGGGAGCAGAGCAAGAAAAAAGTTATCATGGTGAAGAGGAGGGCCAGTGGTTAAATATGGTGGATGGAAGAGATAAGGGGTAGCAATCTGAAAGAAATCTGTAAGGTATGGGGGAGAGAGATTATAGATGAACTTGAAGGACTTTTGGATTGTATTCTGAATTTGACAGGGAGCCAGTGAGGTTCCTGCCAGACTGGAGGGATGTGATGGAATGAATGGAATCTTAAACAGTAAAAGCAAAGTTTTTGCGTTACCTTCATTGGAGCAGATTACACCAGAAAAGTAACAGGATATAGTTTAAGTAATTAATGCCTTATATTGCTCTATGTGAGCTTTGTAGAAATGTGAATTTCCAGACCGCTTTTGTAATAAAGCTATTCAAGTTGACAACATTTAGCTTTCATGGATATGATTTTAGGGTAAACCAGGGGATAGAGTGGTAGAAAGCAACTGATCAAGCTTTCACTGGAACCAGAGAGTCCAGAATATTATTCAAACTGTTGTTATACGGAGATGCGAGCTGGTCAGCGGTGAAAGACAGGTCTGGAAGCAGAGTTCTAAGGGTGTGAGGAGGAGTCCATTTTGTTGTCCTTAATGTTTCCAAATTGTATGAGTCTAGGAGAGATTTCAAATGAAAAGAAGTAATGCAGGTGGTAGGTCTGAGACCACAGGAGCAGATTAAATCCAGAGCATGTCCTTTTATTTGTGTGGGGAAATCTGTGAATTGAAAACCAAAGTTTTCCAGGCAGGATAAAAAGTCTTTAGTGAGATTACGATTATTTATCTAAAAGAAATACCAAACTCCATTTCATCTGATGTTTTTCATTATTCATTACTCATGACACCATGTTTTTGTTTTGTTTTTCCTGACAAATGTTTCCTTTGCTGTACCAAATTAAACTAAAGAGAATAAAAAATGTCTACTTTAAAACAAAGTGCTGCTGACCAGGTATGATCCCGCTGCTCCTGGTTAATGAATCCTCTGTTTGAGAAGAATGGGTGGCAACTGCAGTGGTAACTAGTGATAAACAAAGACAGAGAAACATTAAAAGTTAAAACATTGCTACAAAGCCAACTCTAAAACAAAAAAAATCTAAATCAACATAGATGAAATTGTCAAGTTTTATATTGTAATGTAAAACCTAAATGAGATTTTGTGCTATTCGGTTTTTATTCTCTAAAATAAAGAAAATTAGATTTCTTTAAAGGAAAAATCCGGTCATATTCAGAATTCAAACTTCTGAAAATTATTTAAATATGAAATTATTACATACTGTTCAATAAATGATAAGTGTTTTAATTAAGAGTAATTTCCTTTAAATGTGCTTTACTGGTGACATCCATGTTTGGCAAAGAACACTACTGCCACCTACAAGTTTGTGACGTCACGGTGCGGTATCGGCTGTTGATCAAGTTCCAGAGCTGCATCTGGTGTTTGTCACAACGCGCTATTATCCAAGTCATCTTAAAAACATTATTTGAAATGTTGGCTACATATTACATGTTTTTTCTCTGGCCAGAAGTTTGATGGCAAATCCTCCCTCTTCAAGTTGGCAATCCAACGACCAGGACCGCAGTAACCCATCCATGGAATATCATGAATTGGAAAGGTGAAATAACTAATTTTTTTCACTTTTACCTGAAATATTACAACATCCTACTGCCATGCACATGTAACCTGATAAACCAGACTGAATGTGAAATTAAATGTGTAATTTGCAGGCAAAAATGATTTTGGCCGCTGGCAGGTACGGCTAGTTTACTAGGCTAATGCACGTGGGCATTGCCACTTTAACTATAGCTCGCACGAATTTCAACGGTGAAGTCCTCTCCAAATCTAAAATAATTGTTGTTGATTGCAAGCGTGTCCAGTAGCTCCCATTGAATTTGCTTGTAAAGCAGGGAGAATGGTGCTAGGCTTACCGTGCTGTGACGTCACTGCCAGAAGATGTCAGGAGTGAGGTGTTACTATATTTGGGCAAACACTGGTCCTGGACTCTTTTTCTTTTCTTTTTTTTTCTATAGCAAGCTGCTATATTAGGACTAAATAATAACCACTAAACTTCAAAATTATTAGATGTTAAAGAAACGTTGCACCAATTAAAAAATGTTTTCTGTAAATAAAGTTATTCTCTGTTACACTGCTTATCACATAAGGCAGGGGTCTTCAACGTTTTCCAGGCCAAGGACCCCCAAACTGATGGCAAGATGGAGCAGGGAACCCCTAATTATATGTATTGTATGAAATTGTGTTATATTAAACTGGTCCTATAGTCACTCTATTACATATGGAGTAATGTAACAAAAGTAATTTCCCCCTGGGATTATTAAAGTATTTCTGATTCTGATTCCTGGTTGATGGGACAGGTGTTGTAAATGAAATGGTGCCCAGCTTGAAAGAGATCCTGTGTGTTGCTGAATGTGTGCTTTGATGACTGAAAGACACCTTCTGCCTCCTTTTATCTGTTTACTACAGTGTGTTGAATTCATTGTAAAGTGTATTCAAAGACATTTCAATTAGTGGGAAAAATCGCTGGGGGGAAATATAAAAATAGTCTAATCAACCAAAACTTTCGTTGACCCCCATACAGAACCTCCGTGAACACCCTAGGGGCCACGGGCCCCCTGTTGAAGACCTCTGATTTAAGTTGTTTGCTGTCCTTTCAGCCTGACGCATATTGACTCATGCAATCCACCTGAAGCAGACAGACAGGATCTTCTGTTTGTCTTTGCAAAATCTGACCTAGATGTTGCAATCCCAAAGGAGTTGTCACTGACACTATCTGCTGCAGAACGCACTGTAGTACTCAGCAGTAAATGTATGCTTAAGAAACCACAGATAAAGGAATGAGTAAGATATGGATAAATAAGAAAAAAAAAAGCATATTTTAGTTAAAGGACATTGACTAAGAAAGATGAGCTGATGTGCAGTTTACCATTTAAATTTAAAGGTTCTTCTCTGAGATTTGGGTCAATCATCTAAAAACAAAGGAGAACATTATGATTAGAGTGTGGCAGGGATAAATCACAGAGCACATTAATTCACTGCTGTGGAGGTTTTACTGAACAGCACCTGCTATTTCTATCTAAGCTTTAAGATTGAATAAGACCGAATTGAGAGAAAAATAAAGACAAGCTAAAGAGGAGGTCACGCTGTTCACTGCAACAGAGGAAACTTGTTGTAGGAAGTTAAACACGAGGAGTTATCAGAGCAACAACTAAAAGAATATCAGGCAACTCGATCGCGTTTTTTTCCTGATCATTTGCAGCTTCAAGCAGCTGTACCATAAAACCGTGAACTAATTCAAGCTCTGGATAATCTGGCTGTTCAGAAACACGCGATCTGTTTACTGCTACTCACCTTTAGTGATAGGCTTTTACCAAAGATAGCTCAGTCTTTGTTTTTCTCTTCTGTTCAAAATATGAGGTCCAAGCTGCAGGATTCTCAATCAGTCTTCGCGTGTTTTGTGCTGCATTCATGGACCTACTTTAGTGTCGTATTTCACAACTTTACTTCGTGAAGCGCACGCTGTAGAGACTTTCAATTGTATTTTTAGCTAAAGTTATTTAGTGCAAGTTACGGAGGATGATTATGGCTACTGAAATACAACAAAAAAAGTTTACTGATTTTTTTTTCAGTATGAGAAAAAAGACATAAATCTGACTTTAATCTCAGAATTCTGACTTTTTTCTCAGAATTCTGAATTTAATCTCAGTTCCCGATAGAGCAAATTTTCCCTTCCAATAAAAGTAAACCACATTTTTGTCTTTCTAACAAATTAAGGCGTGTTTTCTGTTTTGATGTCTGGATAAATATAAAAAGAAATATCTAACAATTGCTACAGTTTAAATGGAAAGAGAACACTTAATTACGGCTGATTTTTTTTTTCCCAAACAGAAAAAAAAAAAAAACTCAATCAGCTGAAATTTTTAAAAATAAGGTTCTCTTTCTCTGATGTTTCTTACAATAAAGAATACAACGGGTTCTCTATCAGGAATGTCAGAACGCATCCACACATCTAAAGAGATAATTTCATAATCTATTATCATATATAACTTTTATAAATGTAAAAGGCATTTTTAAATCAGAGCAGGACTAAGTGTTTTGTAAAGAATCTGAACCAGTTCATGCTGTAATAACTAGTGTTAAGAGAGACAGAAAATGACAGCTTATTTCAAATGTGAAACTTGTATTTGGAACATAATTTTTAATGCATACTGTTAAATCCATGCTGTTCAACACAGCGGCCACTGAACTGGACCTTACAGTATAAAAACCAATAAACAGTTTTCAGAAGTATAAATCAAAACTCTGGAAGAAATAAAAATAGACAAGTCTCATGTCAAGGTTGATCCAAATAAAAGCATCTTTATCAGAGTTTAACGAAGTGTTCTTGGTGTGAAACATTTCCAGCTTTTCTTTCCATTTTATAGAGACACACACAACAGTCTGCAGATATTGCACCAAATGTTACACTGTAAAAGCAGAAAAAGCAACATCAGACTGCACAAACAAGCTCCTCAACACACAAATATACAGGCACTCAGAATCGACAGACTGCAGCCAGAAGTTAGATCACAAATGGACTGTATATACACACTTAAGAGAGCAGAAAAAAATATCTAAAATACAGACCTGAAGGCAGATATCAATTTTGGACTAAGTGGAAATTATTTTTTTCTTCTCAGTTTGTTCTAAAACATAAAGCAAACTGTGCATGTTATGAATAAAGGTCAGCAGTGGAGTGACTGAAAGGGGGATGTGTTATTAAATAAGACTGAGCTCCTCATAGTCACTGCAGACCCAGAGGTGTCTGGGTCTGCAGTGACTATGGTGGGTAACATAGGTAATGTGGGTAATCCTTATCTTGAGAAGTTTAGAACCAATGCAGGTAAAAATCTGATAATTTATCATTAGTTTTGGTAATAGAAACAATTAACATGCTCTGGGATTCTCATACATTTTACAATAAATCTACTTCTCTTCAGCTTTAAGTCTCATCACACAACACATCAGCCAAGTCAGGAATGTTGAAGACTTCATTGAACATGAGAGAGAAAAAAAAAAGGCAGTTAAGCAACTAAATGTAGCAAAGATGTTTAGAAAGTTCACGTAAAAGTCTGCAAAGTTGTGATAACACGTTTTAAAATGCCAATAGCTGTTGTGGACCATGAAGAGAGCCCCCTAGTGGATGATTAGTTTGAGAAACAAGAAAACCAATTTTTACATATTGATTTATGAGATTGTCAGTTATTTGAAGCAAAAGCACATTTGTGGTTAATACTCTGTCAATAAGCTTAAGAGAAAAAGATATTAAGTTTGTATTCAACCTGAAAAACATTAAATGGTATGAATACGTTCCAACGACACACCGGCAGTACTTTACGTCAAAGCTAAAATATTCTCAGCCACACAGATGTTTACCTTTAATAAGGTTTTAAGCATGACTCAAAACGGTTACTTCCTCCCAATAAACTTAGACAGTCCTTCAGCCCCCATCACACAGAAGTCCCACTTGAAATTGGCCACCCTTTTGCTGCTTCCTATCTTGGATTAACACGGCACCCTAGTGGTTGGGTAGGGGTGTCCTAAGTGGTGCATGATGGGGGTTGTAGGAGAAGCAGAGAACTATCCACCAGGGTGAGACAGCGGCATCACATGATTTCACAGCAAGAGTTCTGTTTCCGTGCCTAGAATAGAAAACCACAGCATTGATTGTAGCAGTGAAGACACACATGAATCCACTTTAATCATAGAGGCGGACATATTTACAGTCTTATAGAAGGCTTTAGATTGGTTTCCCAGGTGCTCTGACTTTGCCACAAGATCATCCAGTTTCTCTCCTCTTTCCAACAGACTCTCCATGGTGTTGTGCTGCAGACAAAAACATTTTCTTTATGAAAGAGCAGCAGAAAGATTTGGACTCAAAACCAATTTTTTTTAAAAATAAATAAAAACAAAAAAAATTATATAAGGAATTAATTTGAGTGAGTTTATTTAGATGTAGTTGTATTAGAAGAAATGGGGTTGTGTATTGAAATTCTTATTTTAAAACTGTCTGATAAGGTTCCCAGTCTAGATAGCGAACAAGCTAGCTGTTAACAGAAGTGCGGCGTGGTAGAGATGTGCCCCCTGCGTAGCCAAAGACACGGTGTCCCGTTTGTGCTTATTGCTTTCCTTTATAATTAGGGGGGAATAAAAAATTGAGAAATAAATTGTAAATCGGATAAAAGAGATTCTTAGGCGATATCGCCCAGCCCTACTTGCTGGTTAATATCTACTCTTTCCCTAAACTGAACCTGAAGCCGAATGAAAGTTTTAGAAGACTTGCATGAAAATTAAAGGAAAATTAAAACCTGTTCCAAAAGTAATCAAATCCGTTTCAGCTACAGATAATAAAACATGATTTAATGTAAACTGTAAAAAATTTGAAATGGTGAGAGAAGTTGCTGCTGGTGATGTAAATATTGTTTCTATGAACGTTATAAAACCGACATTTATGCTCCACAAATGATTTGGTACCTTAATTTACACAGAACCTTCCACGAAAGATAAAACTCATATTTATAGCAGCAATACTGATTCTGATTGCTTTATTTTGTAAAAAAAAATAAATAAATACTTAAAAATGTAATTTTGGTCCAATTAAAACATGAAAAGTAGTAGATTAACAATACAAATCAGCATAGATTCTATGATAGAAAGCCAAAGCCTTATACCACCATAAAAAGTCTAATATCACCCACTAAGGAGATGGTTGTTATTGTGCCTTCTGTTACTTTAATTGCTGGCATTCTAATCCAGACTGCAACTTAAACAAATTAGCAAAGACTTCAGGAAGGATTGATCTGATTATACAACTGAGTCATCCTTCTTATTACAGTGCACAAAAATAAGGAAGGAAGTGGCAGTTTTTGCTGTAAACCTAATTATGAAAACCTTTACGTTTCAGCATCTCAGAGCATTCTGTAGGTTTACGTATTCAATACCTTCAAAACTAAAACAACATTAATTCCAATGCCAAAATAAAGTAAGGCATTAATTGTTTCAAATTAATTTGAAAAGTTTGTTTACCAAAATGATCTTTGTCTCGTCCAGCTCGGCCTGCACTTTGGTCATCGCATCAGCTTCCCTGGGGTTCTGAAGAAAACCAAAATGAGTCAATAACCAGCAAAAACTTTAGAGTACCCCCCACACATATAACAGATGTTTCGGGGTTAAGTTATAGTTGAAATGTAATAGAGTTCTTAAACTCATAAAGTAGTGTCCAAACTAGAAGATAAACCTACCTGGTATTTTGAAAGGTGAATGTCCAAACTTTTGTAGTTCACAGTGTCAGGATTACCAGACGGCCAGTCTATACTGTCTACTTGCCTGGAAAACTCCTCTAATACCTAAAAACCAAAATGCATTTTTATAGAAATACAGTGAGGAGCAAAATTATATAAAACTGTTTTTTTTTTTTTTTTAAACCAACCTTGTCAAGCAGAGTAAAACAGACCCTTTGTGGGTATTCATGGTCTGAGATTACCACCGCACTCAAGTTGTCATTTCTCACGTACACATGGCAGAGATACTCTGCAGAAAAATATACAAAACAATCAACTCAGGAGAATTTTAATTCACCTTGAGGGTACTGACTTTGAAAAGCAGTCCTCTTTATGAATGGCTTTAAGACAACTAAAACAGGTCTTAAAGGTAAAAAAACAACAAAAGGAATGTAAACAGGAAATGATGGGGGTGAAAAAGAAGCAAGGGAATGTAAGAGATAGAAATAGATATTTTGAGAATGTTTACCTCTAAAAGAAAACCAAAATAAAATAAACCATAATATGTAAAGGTGAATGTTAAAATAAAATGTTTTATTTGGAAATAATTTGTTTACAGAGACTGTACATTTCAGTTGTTATGGTGCTAATATAAAGCATTTTTAATCATTTAAGAGAGTCGCTGTAACAATCATCTTTAAAAGAGGCTCCAAAAAAATTTAAGTGTTAAGAAATATATATATATATATATACACACACCCGGCTACGCTGCTTCGCTTCTTCTTGTTTACTACTGATGGTTGGCTTTGGTCACAGTACCGCCACCTTCTGCTCTGGAGTGTACACGCTTCGCCACAGTAAAAAAGGAGCTGCGCATGAACCTGAACGCAACACACGCGAATCGAACCGAGACAGTCGAACCGAACGGTTCGGACGGTTTTCATAAACTGTTCCATCCCTAATATATATATATATATATATATATATACACCAATCATTGATCACCTTGTTATGTTTTTTCACACAGCAATGTATAAAAAAGATCACGTAACCAGAATGAGACCAGTTAATGCAACTAATGGTAACTAAATTTAGAAAGAGTGAATTAAAACAAGGCAAGATAAATCAAATTAAAAGTACACCCCAAGTCTTACCTTGCTCTTTGACAGAGGCACGGGTTCCCACAGATGTTCGCTCCACAATCAAGGCACTGGTGAAGGTCATAAATTCCTGAACGCTAGAAGTACCAACAATGATTTGATTAATCATAGTAAAGCATTAAATAATTATAGTAGAAAGACAAGGTTGGAATGAATTTAAACTTTATGCTGCGGACCCATTAGTAATCCTAATTGGTGATTATGGTACAAGTAAGACGTTTGGAAAAAAAAAAAAAAAAAAACAAAAAGTTGGTTGAAATTTCAACAATTTCCCAATAAGAATGTTAACATCGCAGGAAAATAATAGTATAATACCGAATCTGCGTTTTACTTAAAGATAAACATAAAGTGGACAAAAATTATCTAAACAGTAGGGATGTCCTGAGCTGATATTGATATCAGAAATCAGTCCGATCATCTGCCAAAAACAAAGCATGTTGATAGAAACAATCGGCATGTATTTAAAGTTTGCCAAACTCTTAGGTTATTAATAAATGGATCAGATTTTCTCCTACCTCTTGGTGTTGACTATTATACTCTTTTGGAGTAACATCGCTCAATCAAGCCTTTTCTAACATTCCACATTACAAATTGTTAGAAAATTATTTAAATTTGTGCCAATATCTTATCAGGTCAATACTAAAAGCTGTGATATTCATATTGCATTAAAGAAAGAGACATCCCTACTACATAGCATGTTGTCAATTGTTTTTAAGTACCAATATTGAGATGAAACAGATTTAAAACATGAGACCAACATCTAAAACTATTTTTCATATCTTACAGTATAACAAATATTTTACACTGTAAAAGAAGGGATGCTAAATAGTACTGGAAATAAAGTAGAATATCCTTTTTTAAACTGTGGAAATATATCAATTCATGAAGTTTACTATTTAAAATGGTTAGAAAAATTCTATTGAAAACCCAGAAAATGACATAAACAATTTGTTGAAATCACAGCTACTGAATAAGCCTGTAGAGACATCAGATGGTTGCTTGCTATGTTTCCTTGACTTTCCTGTAATCACTCATATGAGAATGCTTGTGGCAACAGTAGAGAGGAAAAATCTCTTTTAACAAGAAGATATTTAGGCGGGTTTTAGAAGGAGAATAACTACTCAGTGTGGTCTTTAATAAATCAGCTAGCTGATGTTTACTCTAACCAATAGAAAGGCAGATCATCAATCCAACGTCACTTAGAAAATATATATTTTGGGGTGGGTTTGGATTTTTTCCCCCTTCTATATGCTTTAAAAGCTACATTCACACTCAGTCATTTCCAATTAAATTTATTTGGCATTCGTTTGTTCTTACCTGCAACTTTTTATCTAAAATATGCGAACAGAACAAATATTTTAGTTTTTTTTCTATTGATTTTTATTATATTACATCCCTGTAGTATAGAGCAGGGGGAGGGGGTGAGCTTTCCATAGATGATCGATGGAATAATATGAGATGATTGAGGCTGACCTGGAGCGCTGAAAGAAGCTGAAGGAGGACAGGTCATAGGCCGCCTTGAGCAGGTTGGCTTTAGTGGCTCCTTTATAGAGGACGCTGAGGCTGTATAGCTTCATGACTCCACCGAATCAGGTCCGACTAAGGAGTCACAAGGGACACGGTGGTCTAAAGACACGACACAAGCAGGATCACATGAGATTATTTTAGCTCAGCTCCAGGAAACAAGTTAAATCACAAGCGAAAGTAGCCTCCGTGTTGACAGCTGGAAAGGTGTTTATCAATTCGTGGCTTTACCATTGTCAGCTACAGCGACTCAGTCAGACTTAATTTAACATTCAGAAAAAAGTCCTTTAAATTCATAAACATTTTTGTTAAAATATCTATGAACTAGCTAGCAATAGGTGCTATGTGTTGTGGGGCCCGAGCTGCCTTACCAGATAAAAGAGCAGCAAAACCGCTTCAATTTGGGTCAAAACAACCAAAATGACTCAGGTACCATGAACCAAAGGTTTCGCAGAGGTAAATAAAAAAAACAACGTAATTATCTTTATCCTAACAGAAAAAGAAGAAGTTCCGTAGACACAAGTGAGTTGACTCGGTGGAAACAAACGCGTCGCAGTTTCTTCTTCTCCTCCTGGTACGACCAACTACAGAAGAAAGCGCCACCTGCAGGCCGCCTTCTTCTTCTTTTCTATAATGGCGGATCGTAAGCAACTTTAAGGTGCATACCGCCACCTACTGTACATGAGTGTGTAGCAACATTGCTTCACATCAAATTGTATTTTTTAATTTGTATTCTGTAGATAAATAAATAATGCTTTCCTTAATCTATGAATATCCTTTATATTTCCTTTATTTCCCAATATTCCTTTAAGATTATTTGCAACCATCCTTCTCAATTTCTCCCTTTCTTGTTTATAAGTTTTTACAGTTCATCAGTACATGTTCTACATTTTCTTTTTCTCCACATCCTTCACATTTATCATTATTTTTCATCCCTATTAAATAGAAATTGTCATTAAAATAGGTATGACCCACTCTTAATCTGATCATTATTACTTCTTCCCTTCTGTTTCTCTCATTAATGATTCTATTTAATACCTGTTGAACCTTATATGATCCGTTTCCTTTCTTATCTTCGTTCCACCTCTTTTGCCATTTTTTCATTTCTTTATTCTTAATAAGTGATTTACCTTCCCCTTTCCCAAAAGGAATTTTAATTGTTATTGTTCCCTCTATCTGCCTTTTCATTGCCTTTTACACCTTCATATGCTGGAACCCAGCATAACCAAATATCAATGCCACCCCTATATAATCTTTTCTATAATTTCCTTCTCCCTGAATACTTTCTAAAACTGCTTTGGAATCTGTACAGACCACCACCCTGTCTGGTCTAACCTCCTCTACCCATTGTAACACCTACAGGCCTGGTGTATGTACAAAAGACAACATACAGATTATATGTAGCAAAATAAAGCAAATAAAATATATTTAAATTGTCTTGAGAAGCCTGACAAAATAAAAAATTTCAATTCTAAAATCTACATTGATACGTCAAAGAATAAAATAGTAAATTAATTAAAAATACTAAATAATTACTTAGATTAATTTAATTACTCATTATTAATTAAAATAATTTATCATTTTTATCAACTAACAAATGTAAATTCAGTTTTTGTTATTAAATACACGCCTCATCCTCTCTTTAGGTGTTGGTACATGTGAACAAGTCCATATTGGGAGGTAGAACATGAAAGATAAAACTTAAAATACACAAAAAATATTACCGGTATAAATAGCTGTGAAAAGGTCACTAGTCAGCCACTGTTTTTTCATTTTTTTAAAGATTCATTTTATTAACAGAAGCTTTTACAATATATCCATGGCGCATAGCAAACATTTACAGTAATACTGAACGTTTTATTTTATAAAACAAATTTACTGATGTGTAGTCTTACAGACATACCATATAAGGATGATGATTTCAGATTTGTTTAACATCAAAAGAAAAAAAAATGAGGAAAAAGAAAACAAAGCAAAAGAAAAAAAAAGGTGATTTCTTTTATTTCTGTACACATCCATCTGAGCACATTCATATCTATTTAATTCAACACCCCACTCATATCAAGCAGACCAATGAGGAAGTTACAGAAGAAGAATCTGCAAAGGGCTAATTTGAAGCTGGTCCAGGAAGGCTCACCATAAACAGCCAAGTCTAGAGAGGGCAGAATGTCAATGAAAGGGCTCCAGATTATTTCAAAGTAAGCTACTGTTTGAAAAGTCTGCATTGTAGGGATACTTCCTTTTTGCCTCTTTATAATAGAAAAGTCAATATTCTTTGGAGAAACAGCTGAAATAGAAACACACTCTAATGGCTCACTTTGAGGAAGAACACCAGTCTCTGCCTCAAAGAGAGTACTGCACTGCCATCTTCTGACAGTAGTTGGTTTAACCTGATTTTTATTTAATTTTTTTTGTAGTTTTTATTCATTTATTTATTAATTTATTTTTAGCTCACTTTAAGAGTTAAGACTTGGATTTATCATACATTATTGCAAAAAAAAAAAAAGATTTCCTCATCAAATCCTAAACTATAGACTTTAGTGGAATCTTCAACATATAGAGTGAGTAAAGAACTTCAGTTTCATTGTTTAACAGCAATGTTGAATCACATATCTGATTTTCCTAAGTGATATAATGCCAAGTTTGAAGGAAACTTTTAGTTAAACTTCTTTACAAAAAGTCTTGAGATGATGGAATACTTTTTGGACCTTTACCTTTTCTGTCAGTCTTTTTTATTTTGCCCTTGACCTTCTTGAAATCATCTAAAATCTTACTGAATATAATTTTTGAATCTTTAAAAATACCTTTTAATACTTATCTTTGGACTTTAGTTACTTCTTAATTAATTTCCAGTTGAGGGCAATGTTTTATCACACTGACCTTTGATATGATCTACAAATAAGCATTCTGATCTAAATAAGGACAAACATACAGCAGACATAAAAAAATGGAAACAGATATAATAAGCAATTAAAAATGCAAGGTAGGAAAAACAAGAGAATAGGGGGCATTCTGCTACTTTTTAGCAGAGATAGAGCAAGGTTATTGGTTATTGGACATTAGGGGACAGTCTGAAACAGCTTGACTCCAGGATAGGAGGGATCAGCCCCAATCTGTCATACTTTCCTCAGAGTCCTGGAGGCGTACAGCTCGTGAAAAGAAGAAAGATGGAAGCCAATCATTTTCTTTGCAGTGCAAATGACAAGCTGCCGACTGCCCTTGTCTCTGGTGGTGGTAGCAATGAACCAAAGGGAGATGGAGGAGAAGGATGGACTTCATGATGTTGGAGTATAAGTACATCAAAAACGTCTTTTGTAGACTGAACTTCTTCACCTTCTGCAGAGGTTCATCCTCTGCTGTGTCATATTAGTGAGGGAGGGGATGTTTGGCTCTTATGTGAACCTAAACAATGATGGTGCCCTGGATATGGACAGGTCCTCATGCAAATAATAGTTGCAGAAGATGATGGTGCAGGGGGAACCTGCACTACTACGCTCTATTACTATTGTCAAGTCTGAGCTCCCAGAATGTTCTCCAGGTCACCAGATGATTTAATTCCCATTTGTAGTCAGATTCATCCTCCCAGGATTTCAGCCCAATAAGGGTAGTGTCATCTGAAAATAGCACAAAGGCAAATAAACTATTTTGTAATGGTCTTAATATCTTCCACCACCTCCAAGTACAGAGCTGGCTTTCCCGATAAGTTTATCTACCCCAGCAGATAAGCTGCTACTCTAACATGCTATACCAGAAAAAAAATGTCTGATGTCACAGCAGAGTCATAAAATGTTCAGCTAGGAGCATCTCCTCCAAAAAAAACATCTCACTCTGTTAAGCATTAGAGTCTGCTCTCACCCTTCCTGTTAAAAAGAATCATTTCTGTCACTCCAGTCCATGTTTTGTTCAGGTGAACACCCGGGCACTTTTAAGTGTCCACTGTCTCAGCATCACCTCTCTTAACGTTAACCAGTGTGGTGGAACTGCTCCTGCAGAAGTCCCCCAGTAGTTCCTTTTTTTCCTCACAGTAATCATGAGTGATAAAATAACATATTGATAAACTATACAGTATTTTCATTTACTGTCAGGGATACATCTTTTTTTATTTAATTTATAGTTTTAAATGAATTGTCTTTGTTAGTCAATCAGCCGTTTCTTTAACCAAAACATGGTCCACTCAATTGATGTTGTCTCTGGTAATCTTGCTCCATTTAACAATTCCCCCCTAGCCAATTAACTCAGGGTAAGTAAGTGTTTTCCATGGCACAAGTATGCCTGTCAGAAATTTCCCAGGCAACACAAAGTGGAAACCGCTAAGCCTTTCGGTGCATCTGTTGGATATGCAACACCAGAGGGAATACAGGATGTGACTTTCCAAGAACTGCAGCTGGTCAAACTAAAGCATTGCACTTAGTGTGGAGTTCAGTTATAAATTGGACGTTTGGGATTTATCTTATTTTTTTACATTTCTGTATACAGTTATATTTTTAACAAAGACGCATTATCCATGGGAGGTCTGGTTTATATTTCTTTTTTTAACTGATACCTGTAGCCCTTTCATTACGTTGATCCTAACTGAAATGAGGATGAAGAGAGAATTTTTTATCTAATTTATCCTTCTCACCAGAATGATGACACATCCGCATCTGCATTTATTCCTGTAAATATCTTTGGCTTGCACCTACAAGGGGGATTGTTTGCACTCTTGAAGACAAATGCTTGTTTCTTTGTATAAAACTCCTGCAAGAATGGAGAAGAAAACATAAGCCCTTTTTCCTGCTTGTTTTCCAATGGATTTTTTTCAAGTGAGAAAAACAGCAGAGATGTAAATGTTTCACTCACAGACTGGACATATCTGTCTCATAATGGTTGATCCATATCTCATTAGAGGATAAAGATTTTTTTTTCCTTTTTTTTTTACATTTGATGTCCGGACCTTAAGCAAAACATCATTAGAAGACGGAATTTAAGACACTTTAAACAGCAGAGCACTGATGGTTCACAGGACAGTTAACAGGATTTAACCCTTGTTGTGAAGCGATGGATAAGGTAATGGTCAAACTTTGAATCCAGAACAGACATCTAAACAAGTCATAAGTAAAACCAAGCAGCCTAATTCAAGTTGTGCATGAAATTGACAAAAAAAGCTGCTTTCAATAAAAGTTGGAAAAAAAAGATTTCTGCAAAATGACAAAAAAAAAAAAAGGTAAGAGCAAAATTTAAATATAGAGATTTGACCTCATATATAACCTTTATTACAGAGCATGACAGGTTACATAAGTAGGAATCATATCAGAGAGGCCAAGCCTTTTGGATATACAGATAGGAGAGGTTAGCTGAGTGTGTGCAAACAATCAAACAGTTCTCAAGGTAATGTCGCAATAAGTTTGGTGGTTTCATCATTCCAACAAATCCAGATGACTTGTTCTTAGAGAGAAGGAGAATAAATACTTTTATTTCACTGCTCAAGAAGTAGTGGTTACAGCTGCAATAAATAGAGAAAACACTAAACAGTGTCCAATTCAAATAAAATAAAAACCACATTTACTGCATGTAAAACGGTAAAAAAGTCATTTTTATTGCAGTACAAGAAGAACATCTTTGGGTAACCAGTTCTTTATAGAAAGAATGTTGTTTACTTGTTTTTTTTTTTATTACACTGGCTCCTAATGAGTGTGCAGGGTGCTGCATATAAACACATCACCATGCAAGCTTTTATCTGAATTTCCTGATTCAACAATTGAGCAAAACTGTCCTTTGGTTTTATTAGAAATAATCTTATCCTGTTTAAGGATCAATGCGATCTAATGCTTGTTACTGCCATGAGTAATTAGACATGGATGTATTCGTGGAAACGAATACTACAATATATAAGGTCCTACAAAAAAACAAGAAAAAAAGAGACAAAAACAAAGTATGCACACAGTAGAAGGATTTACTGAATACATTTGATCAATCCATTCATTTACCATTTATTCCGATCCTTTGCAGAGGACTGGTGCCTGTTTTTAACCATCAATGTGGGATAGGTGGGTAACCCTCTGAACAGGTCATCACTCTATCACATTACATCACGGTGAAAGATTAAAGAGCTAGTAATCGATTCGATTTGGTTAAGTTTGATTAAACTCAATTCAATTTAGTGCACTTTGGTTTTAACCTAATGTAGTAAATTAAATTAGATTAATGTAGTAAATTAGATTAGAAGTTAAAACAATGTATATTTTTAAGTGAATAATTCAAAGCAACATTAAACATAATAATTAAACATCATAAGTGGGAAAAATATTAAAATAAACTTAAAGTGAAAATATTTTAAATATGGCAACAGAAACCACAGCTTTTCTGTTACACCTACCTTGGATTGTTAAGTAATTCAGAAGTACGTTAGAAACTATACCACAGGCCTTATTTCACAAAGGAAAAGCAATCACAGCAGAGTTTTATCTAGAAGGAAGTTTTTCTCAGATTTGCCCTGACTTAGATGACATAGTCCGCGAATGCCAAGGATATAGGATTAAAATGTGCATAAGAATCATAAATTAAAGTAATGTAACATAACTTTACATAAAGTAATGTTATAGCCTTAATCTTTGTTCTGGTTCTGTTGCTGACTTTGTCAGGGACAGCTGGAGCTCCATCAGGCAGGTCTCTGTTCAAACAGCCAGAGCGGGTTAAATTAGCTGGATAATCAGCTATCGACAAGCTCTTGGTACATGTTCAACTCTTTTCAGTAAAAGGCTACAACACTGACTGGGTACATTTTGTGTCTTATTGTTTTACAGCCTACCTGGGAATTTTTCTAAATTTCCCAGTGCAAATTGACTTGTTGCTTGCTGTAATTCTAAAATTGACTTTTAGCATTAAATCTGTCTCATATAAATAATGCTTGTTCTTTCTGGTAAAGGTCAAGTAAAACTCAAACCAATTTTGTGATTCTTCCTAAAAATAAATATAAATTTTACAATTAGTCATATGCAGAATCTGCTCTTTATCAAACCTTATGCAAGTACATTCATTCCAGTTTGTGTATTCTATTAAAGTTGAGGTACATGCCTGAACTAAACTGTAAGAAAAAAAAAATCTATCAAAAAATGTCCCCATAATTAATTTTCCATCCATTTAACAAATAAGACATTTGAAATCAAATCTAATGGTAGTGTAAAGGTCAAAGCTTTGCCTACATTGCAAATTATTATCTCCACCTTTTAACACATCTTTATTTTCAGGACTTCCTTGTGATTTAAACAGGTCAGGTGAAAGATGATGTAAAATACAATCGGAGCATGCATTTATATTCTAATCTATTGTAAAATATTAAAAAAATAATAATCTTATCATAATCTCTAAAAGGTGTCTAAAACCTACCTAAAAGGTAGGTTTTTCTTTAAACAATTTACTATTTTATTATCATCCTTGAAAAAACTAATAAATAGAAATTCTCAGCAGTACTGTAAGACTTAGAGTTATGGCAAATTCCACAGGCTACTTTCCTTATTAGACCCCTATAGTAAGAGTTTCAGGGTGAGAGGTTAAGTTGATTTTACTTTCTTTAGGCCTAACCTCAGTTAGAGTTATAAAAAGCTCTGACCTGTCATCTGTTAAACTACTTGATCGGATAAGAGCATGAGGCCTTCATCCTTATCGCGCTACTGTTAGTTTTAGAGGTCAGTCACTCCTCCCTGTGCCTAATTTTAGTTCTGCTTCTAATTTTAACAAAGCTAACGTGGAACTCTCTGACCCATTGAACAACCCTTTAGTATTACACAATATCATTCTTAGTAAGAAGATGGGGGTTTTATAACAAGATTTCTGATCAGATTTATATAATTTTTATTGTTAGAATGGATTGTATCAAACCCAGGCAAATGTCAAAATGAGAGTAAAAACACAGGCTTTAGAATGAACTGGAATGCTGCCAATACATAAATGATAGTGAGCAATATAAGGGATTGAATCATTATTACAAAAAAATGAATAAAAGACAACAACAATAAGTCTTGCAACATTTACTACAACTGCAGTGCAGACAATAATCTTCAAAATGAAACTTTGAGATTTGAAAGCAATAAAATTGCCAGCCATTCTTAGTTATGTAAGTGACCCATATCAGCATTACAATAAACTAATAATAATGATAATGCCTGTAAATCATAATTATCTGCTTTGACAATATATATATATACATATATATTTGTATTTAAAACAGGTACAGGTAACTAATAGCAAAAAAATGGTCATGTGTCAATGTGTCAGCAGTAATTGTAAAACTCTAATCTGATTGTTTGAAAAGTCATTTAAGATTGAATTAGATTTTGTGCACTGACCTTGGACCCAATATTTGAAATCAGGTCACACAGAGGATTTAGGTTTTTTTCTTAGAACTTTACCATCCATCCTTATCTTGAACTAACGTGGGCGTGTGTTTGAAGCTTCATCACCTGATGGAGTGAGGCTGAGAAAAGGGGAGGGCAATTCAGCACATCCAGCCCACCTTACCTGGGCATAAAAACGGCCAAGGGTCTTACTGACACTCACACTTTAGTGACTCTAAAACCAACCACACAGGGTGGACACGCACTCCCTATTCTTAGAAAACACACTCGAGCTCATCTTCAACCAAACCTTCCAAGATGCCGTGCATCAGCAGTTATCTCGACCAGATGGTGAAGCTGCCTGGTAGCTACAGTGATGTGCTTGAAAAAATCTACATGGTAAGATTGGCTTTCTATCTACAGCATGGAAAAATATGGATATGTGAAATTAACATTGCTTAGGCATCAAAAGGTCAAAGAGTGCTAGTGTCAGTACCAGAGCCTTGGCAAAGAGGCAAATATTAAAAATGTTTCATCAAACATGATACTGTTTTATGTTACTGAAAACAACTCCTGACTCAGACCCTTTCATCCTTATTCTGCTGTCTTTAACTAGTTTCATTAGAATCTTAACAGGGTTGATTAGCATTTTTAAGTCATTAGATAAGCATTGCCTGAGTGTCTACATTTCTGAATCAGCATCTTGCACCACTCTGTCATGTGAGGTCCCATAGGGCTCAATTCTAAGCCCACTTTTTATGCTATGTACTTACTGCCTCTATATTCCGAACCTAGAAGAGAGCAGAAGGAAAGTTTGCATATAGTGCTTTGATTTTCAATCAAAGCACTATATGCATAGCAAGTTAAATTTCTCTTTCCAGGTGACTTTTTGAAACAGCAAACTTTCCGTCCATCCTGCATAGATTAGTGCAAAGGATTTCATAAGGAGGCCAGTCAGTCCTTGCTCTCTTGTCTACTGCTGGTTGAAAATGCTGCCGTCCATCTTTTGAACGATACTACTGTATCTGCAGGCTGTCTGTGCATTGCAGAGTTTCTTCTAAAGTTATTACTTACTTTTCAAATATTTGAATGATTTTTCTCTATTGAACGTCTACAAATCTCATCCCTATGCAGATACAAAGGTCTAGGAGGAAACTCAGAGGGGGCAGGGTCTTTTCCTATCTGCTGCGCAACAGTAGAATTACCTTCTCCTCCACATTATAGTCTCTTTAACTACCTGGTTTTAAAACATGTCTTCAAAAAAATATTCTTTAGCATTTAAAATGGGCAATAATTGGCTCAACCTAGTTTGTTTTACTAGTTTCATTGTGTTTAATGTATTATCATTATTTTATCTTTTTTTTTTCTCTTTTAATGTATGTTTATAGTTTGTAGCTATGTACAGCAGTTTGCTTCAACTTTGGTTTTGAGACACTTATAAATAAAGTTTTTATGGTAGAGTAAACTTTACAGAGGAAAAATCTTTTCTTCTTTTGTCCTCCTTATTTTTCCCAGGATATAAATGTTATCATCGTTTATATTTGCTCCTGGGCTTTATCAAACTCTTATGTAAAAGGCTGACCAACGTCTGTCTGACACATACACAGGGACAGCTGGGACAATTATGTTTTATGTAGTCGCTAATCTACTCTAATTCCTCTGTGACTGCAGGTGGAACATATCCTGTCTGAGTTCAGGTTGAACAAAGGAGAGCTGGAAGAAGTGATGAAAAGGATGCAGCATGAAATGAACCGGGGGTTACGTTTAGAAACCCACGAAACAGCTAGTGTCAAAATGCTTCCTACCTACGTCTGCTCCACTCCAGAAGGATCAGGTAGGAAATAACACTTCACAAAGAGGGAGAAATAATCCTTTGATTAAAAAAAAAGAAAAAAAAAACTTGACAAAATTGTTCTCCTGTTGAGTCAAAATGTAAAATTCTAATTTATTATTGTTTGGTGAACCAGAAGTTGGAGATTTCTTGGCTCTGGACCTTGGAGGGACAAACTTCCGTGTCATGCTTGTGAAAGTGGGTGAAGATGAAGAGGGGACCTTCAAAGTGGAAACAAAGAACCAAATGTATTCAATTCCTGAAGACGCCATGACAGGGACTGCTGAAATGGTAAGATTCAATTACCGTTTATTTTGCTTTTAAACAACACCAGTCTTTGGTAGTTTTCTGCTCTAAGACTTTCATTCTGTGATTGTTTAAAAACTAGATGTACTCTGATGTCCTTTCTGTTGCTGTCTATACAGCTATTTGACTACATAGCAGAGTGCATGTCTGATTTTTTGGATAAACACCACATTAAACACAAGAAGCTTCCTCTTGGTTTCACCTTCTCCTTCCCTGTACGACATGAGGACCTTGATAAGGTATAAATATTGTTCAATCTATTAGACGGGCAAGAAACATTCCTTATTTTTTATATTAAACTAACTTAAATTCAAACAGGGAATCTTGCTTAACTGGACCAAAGGTTTCAAGGCTTCTGGGGCAGAAGGGAACAATATTGTTGGTTTGCTCCGAGATGCCATCAAGAGACGAGGGGTGAGCAAATTTAGATATTGTTTTTCTTTAAAAACAACATTGTCATCAGCATACAGGGAGAATATTCGAATGTGTTATGATTTGATCCTATCGTGCAGGAGTTTGAGATGGATGTAGTCGCAATGGTGAACGACACTGTAGCTACCATGGTTTCCTGTTACTATGAGGACCGAAGCTGTGAAGTTGGGATGATTGTTGGTAAGAAACCATAAACTCATGTAGGGGAAGTAGCTTGGAATGAGACAGTAGTGTGGGTTGGTTCATTATTTAAAAAAATAAGTTTATTTATTACAGACAAACATACAATCGTTTTTGTCAAAGATATATTCTCATTAAAATGGCTGAATAAGCTCCAAAGCCAAGGTTTTATTGTTTACTTTCAGATATTTATGTTATTGTTTGAGTACATCGATATAAGCTCGTCAGCTGCTTAAAGACACATCTACATGTTTTCTTTTTTGAGGGACATTTTTATGGCCAGTTTGAGACAGTGACAAATAGTAAAAAAAAAAAAAGAGAGTTTAATCACAAAAATAAGCGTTGGTAACCCTTTGATAATGCAGAAATATGACTGTAACTTACAGGGATATGATGTTTTTGTGCATTTCTTCAAAGGTACTGGTTGTAATGCTTGTTACATGGAGGAGATGAGAACTGTGGAGTTGGTGGAGGGTGAGGAGGGCCGGATGTGTGTGAACACAGAATGGGGAGCCTTTGGAGACAATGGCGAGCTGGAGGAGTTTAGGCTTGAGTACGACAGAGTGGTGGATGAGGCCTCAATCAACCCAGGACACCAGCTGTGAGTAAAAAATATGCATTAGGTTTAAACATTCAGCACTTTCACACACATATGTGCACGTTTGAACCTAGCTCTCCAATCTTCCTTTATTGATTGGATTTAATCAGGACAAAGGTCAGGGCAAGTCACATTCCAACCACCCTCCACCCCCACACACACTATCTCGTGGTGTTTTTATGAATTAATCATCCAACTATGGCAATACTCACCTGACTCTAAACTCTAGTCTCTGTGAAGTTGCCAAGATACCAGCTGTTTTCCTCAGGATGTTAGTAAATGGACAGAGCTTTCATACGTCAGTGGTTGGTCAGTCGGCCGGTGGAGATGGCAGATTAATGACCCCTTTCGGCTTTTTGCCATATCATCTGCAAGCCTAATGGCTGTTTACCTTTTATACTGGCTGCTGAGTCCAGCTTTAGCCTTGATGTCTCCTTCCTCATCCGGTCTCCTCATCCCCCATACTTCAATATACGTATTTAATCTTAGAGCATTTGTTTTTCTTCACCGTCTTTATATTAACAACTCCCTCTTTCTTCTCTTGTTTTCTTCTGATGCAGGTACGAGAAGGTGATCAGTGGAAAGTACATGGGGGAGCTTGTGAGGCTCGTCCTGATGAAGCTGATTAATGAGAACCTGCTGTTTAATGGCGAAGCCTCAGAGCAGCTGATGACCCGTGGCAGCTTTGAGACGTGTTTTGTCTCGCAGGTGGAAAGGTAAGCATCAATAACAAGAAATGGAAAAAAACACTTTACTTTTATCGCTCATAAAACCCAGACATGCAAATAGGTTACTAGGTTACAGATGCTTTAATGCTGATAAAATGGAAGTAACAAAGTGGTAAAGCTGTATATGGCCATCAAATTACAACTACTATAAAAAAATAAAAAATAAAAACAACTGGCACATAAAAAAAAACATTTGGAATAAATTTCCATCACTCCACACAACATAGGAAGTTGTTTTAATATATATATATATATTTTAAATTGTATTCTGTTACATACAAAGAAAACAAAGGAGGTAATCATATAGGATCATGTGAGGAAGTTTTAGCTATTGGTTTAAAGATTTAATTATCTTACAGTATAATGAATAAATTGTCTGATTTATTGTATTATTTAATTCATTTTCAAGTTTTACATTGTAAAGCTACCACTAATGTTTGATGTATTAAACAAGCATTTACAATGCTTAATTTCATAATAATCCTCTCTTGGCCTGTTGGTTTAAAGTTGCTTTGATACAGTAGCTGCTGAATTTTCTTTTTTCTTTTTTGCATTGATTGGGTTTTGGGGTTTAGTGTGAATAGAATTTCCCACAAAGCAAATTCTGTAGAATTGGGTTGTAAAATGGGACCTTTTGCAAATGTTCTAGTGATTCTGGCGACAGAAAGCAGATCTACAACATCCTGTCTTCACTGGGCGTTCTTCCCTCTGAGCTGGACTGTGACATTGTGCGGCTGGTCTGTGAGAGCGTCTCCACTCGCTCTGCTCATATGTGTGGCGCAGGCCTCGCTGGAGTCATCAATCTTATGCGGGAGCGAAGAGGCCAGGATACTCTGAAGATCACAGTTGGGGTTGATGGATCTGTCTACAAGCTGCACCCATAGTAAGAGTCTTATTGTCTGAATATCTACAAATAGTAGAGAAAGGCATAAACAAATATTGAGTAAAAAAAAAACATTTATTGTGCTTTTTTAATATATATATCTTTTTATCAGATATGTAGCAAGATACTAACAGATGTGCTTCTGTTTTCTAGTTTCCGTGACCGATTCCACCAAGTTGTCAGGGAACTCACTCCTCACTCTGAGATAACCTTTCTGCAGTCGGAGGAGGGCAGCGGGCGTGGAGCGGCTCTTATCTCAGCAGTGGCTTGTAAGATGGCATCATGGATCTAAAGAAAGCGGTGTACTGAAGAACAGCAGAGAAAGCTAGAACTCTGGATGTCAATGAAGCCTTTTCTGAGGTTCTGTCTCTGAGCAAAGGAGAACATAGACATTAAAAGGAGGCCTTTTAATGTCTTGTAAACACAGACTTCGTGGTAGCACACCAACCTGTAGTGGTTGTATTTTCTCTGACCTTAAAACACTTGTTTACTGTTGCATTTGAAACTTTAAATGACTCGAAAGCTCATGTGAAACACATGCACTGGTTGTTTGGACTGCATATTTTGAAACTGGAGCAAACAGGTTCATGAACAGCTTAAATGTTTTGTAAAGGCTGTTGTCAAGCAGCACTAAATCAAATCAATTGCTTTCCTGTTATTCTGTTTGTAAGCATATAAATAGTACTTTGTTATTGTTTATTTAATGTTTTGTGTTTAAAATCTATTTACTTTCTCAGCATATACCGTTTTTTTTTTCTTATGTGTAAACTTAAATATATTAAGCCTAAGTGTAAATAAAAATCCTAATTAAACACTTTACACTCAATGGGCTGCTTTAACTTGGACCAAACACCACAGCTGTTCTCTTGAAACGTCTTTCCAGCATCTTTCTACAGGACTGGTTTAAGTTAGGTTCATTTGCAATACTAGTGCTGAACAATTGCAGTGGACTTTAAAAGTAAAAGTCCAGTTGGTCAAGAAATGTGAAAATTATCAAAGAAATATGGTTGCCCTATAAAATGGCTTTGAAGCTTCGAAACGTTATAATGATGGAAGAAAAAAACCATAGAGGAACAAAACTTTTACCAGCCTCAAGAAACATACCTTCAATTAGAGACAGTTTATCCATCCATAAATTTTCTGACATGCTTAATCCCAAGTGGGGTCTCAAAGGATGCTGGTGCCTATCTCCAGCTGTCTTCGGGCGAGAGGCAGGGTACACCCTGCACAGGTCGCCAGTCCATCACAGGTCAACACATAGACACACAACCATTCACAGCAAAGGAGAATTTAGAGAAGGCAATCAACCTAACAGTCATGTATTGGGACTGTGGGAGGAAGCCAGAGTACCCAGAGAGAACCCACGCATGCTCAGGAAGAACATGCAAACTCTATGCAGAAAGACCCCAGGCCAGAAATCAAACTCACTACCTTCTTGCTGCAAGGCAGCAGTGCTACCCACTGCGCCACTGAGCAGACAGCTTGTTTTATTTTTATTGAACTTTCATAATTTACAAAGCTCTTTACACATGATCTGTTGCATACCAAGAAAACATTTTCACCCACCCACTGCTACAAGGTATCTTAGAATTAAATATAGATTACGTATACCCCTAAGTCTCAACCTTATTTAGTATTCTCAGTAAAATAAGAGTTTTCAAAGGCAAAAGCATTGGAGTAACCATGACTGTCCTCTGGAAACTGGTAAGCCAGTAAGTATTATATTCCAAATCTATGCAAGAACACGGTTCTTTGCTTATGCAAACTGGTTGTAGCACACCAGCTGGAGCTGATTAAAAGGAAAGGAAATATCTTTTTTCTTTCCCACAATGAGGATTTTTTTCCCCCTTGTGTCATAAAACAGTCTCTTAGGTTGCAGTGGGCTGCCCGACTGTGTAGAGGCCAGGAGTGCACTGTAGCTCAGGGATCGTGAGTAATAGATGTAGTTCTGTACCAGCTATCTTGCTCCCTCTCCAGGACATAAACATCTTGCTCTCTTATTAATATGCCACCATTCCAAATTGAAAAAACAAAGCAAAGCAGTCTTTATTTCTTTAAATATTTGCTTACAAAAGGCCAACAGATGTTCTAACAGAGAACAGCAATACAATTGATCCCTGAGTGCCAGGAAAATAAGGCAATGGATGACCCAAGCAAGGGAACAAGGTGGAATGGAGATATGATTAGGAGGACCTTCTCTTTGATTTCATCATAATTTGCAAAGTTTATAATAATTGTAAAAGCATGAGACATAAAAGTTTGTCAGATTTCTTTTCTGCCCACTGGCCTAAATAGGGATCACAACCACAATAAATGGAACCATGGTCTGAATATAAAATTTTCAGAAAATACTATGCAACAAAATGACAAATATCTGACCTTTTAAAGTTTTTATAAGCATTAAAATGAATTTAAATTTTAATTAAGCTAATACTTGAGTGAAACAGTTCCTAAAAAGCAAGGGGTAAAGAGCGACGTGAGGTAAGCTGGATAAGTATAATGATATAATTTGTCTGACTGCCTGTCAAATATCAGAGGTCTCTTTCCATTGTCTGTCCACATCTCTCTGCCCATATCTGTGCTCCCCACTAAACCAGCATACTTCACCTCTTATCAAGTAACCTCTGTGACACACAGAGAGCACACATGGCCATGTAAGGGGCTCTGCAGCGAACTGCAAGCTATTATAGGAAGAGGCCCGATAAGATGGACTCTACATAAAACCCTCCCCAGCATCACACCTTGTCTGAGAGTCTACTTTTATTCTAACAGACATGGTGAGTCCCTCAAGGTTTTTATCATTGATATAAATCATTAAGAATATAAAACGGTATTTGTTCTGTATGGAATTATGTTCTGCTTTTATAATAGCAGATTTGATGCATTTTTCTGCTAATCTTCTCAGGCAAGTAAAAAGGCCTCCAATAAAAGGCAGAGAGGGAATCAGAAGTCCTGCTCCAATGTGTTTTCAATGTTTGAGCAGTCACAGATACAGGAGTTCAAAGAGGTAAGGCACTGGATCCATTTCCCTCCAAGATTATATTTGGTTTTTGTTATCATCAACTAATTTGTGTCAAATGTTTAAACTTCTTTTTGTGTTTTCCTTTATTTATTTTTTATTTTGTTTTAGCTGTTTATGTAAGAACACATTTTCTACCTGAAAAAACCATCAAATGGCACATTTGATGTATAAAATTCAGTTTAGTTGAATTAAAAGCAATATTAATCTGAAGGAAATGAATCAAGTAATTATTTTTTTTGTTTATTTTCTCTCTAATTTTTCTCTTTGCAAAAAAAAAAGTGGATAAAATTAGTTACAGCAACACTCAGATTATTTTATTTGAATATTTCTCAAACAAAAATCCTCGTTCAGAGGTTTTACTTTTGATTTTGTATCACTATGCATGGATTTTTAGAAATGGAGCAATAATGATGGAAGTGGAATTTAGGAATTTGAAAAAACAATAAGGCGAAATGGATTTCTAAAATTATTTATCACTATTTCCTTCAGCTGCCCCTTCCACAAGGTTATTTTATTTTTTTAGATGTCTGAAAACACAAAGACCAGGTGAGAATTATTAGTTCAGTGTTTGAAGTAGGAAGAGGGACACATTTTTTTCAGATCTCATTTTTCAGAGATTTTTTTAGAATATTTGTTAAATATAATGTTATCAGAAAATGTAATATGATTTTAAATTCTTCAGCCTTCTGCCCTGTAAAAAGAACAGTAAATTCATTTAAGACAACTAACATTTAACATTTAAGACTAATTAAATATTTGTGAGCCACAAAACTCTAAATGATTCTTAGATTGCATCTATTCAGAAGAAGATATAATATAATATATGTCTGTATTTTATGTCTATTTATATGTCTAATTATAATGATAAATAATTCCCTTTTAGATATGTTATTGTTTTTTTTTTATGTCATATTGGGTCACCATATTGGTTACTTCTACAGGCTTTTGGCTGCATTGACCAGGACAGAGATGGTGTGATCAAGAAGCAGGACCTGAAGGAGACCTATGCTCAGCTGGGTGTTTAATTCCTTCCCTCATCTTATTGCAATCCACATAGCAGACCATCATGATAGACCCTTGCATCATAAAAAAAACTAATTGTACTCGCCACTTATATTACATACTGTTGCTGCTTATAATCATGCTCACTGGTTGTTTGTTTACCAGGGAAACTTAACATTAAGGATGAGGAGCTGGAGGAGATGCTGAATGAAGGGAAGGGTCCTATTAACTTTACAGTGTTTCTGACCCTTTTTGGGGAGAAACTTAACGGTGAGGTTTTTTTGTAGCTGAAATGCTACATTATGAACTAAAAACTTTCAAAAGATAAATGTGGAATTTATATTCGATGTTGCAGGTACTGATCCTGAAGACACCATTCTTGCTGCTTTCAAACCTTTTGACCCCAATGGGACAGGTTTTGTTAATAAGGATGAGTAAGACTTTTTTCACTTTTACTGTTTGGCTCTAACATTGCTTATATTTCCCATCACTCTATGACATAAAGAATTTCTGAATATCTATGTCTTTATTAAGGTTTAAACGATTACTGATGAACCAGGCAGACAAATTCACTGCAGAAGAGGTCAGTAGTTTTAATTCATAGATTTCACAGAGTCAGATGTAACAATTTTCTGATAACATTAAGCTTAGAATATGTTTTCATAAACATTATAGGTGGAGCAGGCCTTTACTCTGGCACCGATTGACCCAATTGGCAATATCGACTACAAACAGCTCTGCTACATCATCACACATGGAGATGAGAAGGAAGAATCCTAATGGGACCCAATATTTCTCCACCAAGCAACGTGGCTCCTGCTAAGATGTCTTTTCTTTAAATCTGCTACAACAGATATGTGAAGAATTGCGAATATTTTTCTTCCAGTTTATCAATAAAGTGGATTCTGTTGTTTCACACTGTAAAAATGTAAAAGAACTTTGTTTTGCATTGCAATATCTCCAGATCAGTTAAATCATATGGTGAAGAAATTATTTATAGTTTCATGAATCAAACTTTGTTGCAGTGTCTTCATATATATCTTGTGCATGAGATGGGTTTTAATTGATTTGTCAACACATTCAGGTGGTAAATGGGACACAAATATTCCTTCCCTAGTACTGTAAGCATAATGGTAATTTACAGAAAAAGTTGCATAAAATGCAAGAAAAAAATAAATAATAGCTGGTAAATGAAAAGTTATATCCCAGTTATTGTCCATCTTCTTTATTTTTTCATGGTATATGGGGGTGCTGATATTTTGGAGAAAGGAACCTTGCAGCCTTACTTGTCTTTTCAACTGATACCCCGGCAAATGCATTTGGACATCTATCTAAGCCAGGCTGCCATGCAATGTTTTTAACATAATACTTAATTCTTTATCATGGGCTTTGCAACTCAGAAATGCCATACATACTGCATACCTTTCTGCTACAGAGTTGCACAAAACTTACTTCCTATGATTTTTTTGGGTTAGGGCTGAAAATGTTTAACCCTTCATCCTTATGCCCATACATGCAATGGAGTAGCATCATAAACCATATACAAACCCTATGTGATAGGACCTGATGGTTCCTCATGTGTGGAACCATCTGAAATGTATCCTCATATAACAAATTATGCATGGCAACAGCATGACAGCATATTTAGCATGAGAAAAAATGTATTTCTAAAATCTTAAAAGTGTTGGACCTTAGCTGAGCACAACAAAAGTTCAGCCAATAACTGTATTGAGTAAAATATATACTTACATTTGTAAAGTGACATTTCTTCTACCATATTTCCAGCCTTTCTTGTCATGTATGCTAGATTTCCCAGATTTCAAGTAATGGAGGCATAGAATTTTCTTTGAAAATTTAAAATAACCAAACTTCATCCTTGCTAATTATATCCAATGTTTTTATTTCTTGCCCCTACTGCCAATGTTACAAATCATCTTAGAAGATTGAAAAATCCTTGAAGAATCTCCAGACAAGACCATGATGATGCAAACAACAAACAATATTACATAGGCCATTAATTGGGTCTGGTCATTCAGGAGTGTTAAAGAAAGGTTACTTGATTAAAATAAGTCACTGACATTCAGAAAGTTGACTAGAGTAGCTGAAGATCATCCTAGTTGGAGGCCCCCTACCTGTTTTTTTTTTTTTTTGTTTTTTATCCCAGTTCCCTTTGGGGGTTCTGTTGCCATGGTTATGACAACAAACAGCTCCAGGAACTTCTCAACCACATTTTCCTGCACATATATTGAAGCCAAACAACCTTGTTTGTGAACATCAAGATCCTCTTCTCACAACATTAGAAACACTCGGTAGGCTTTTCTTTTACATCATAATCTCTCTTTTTTTATCATCATTTCAGTTCTTGCATCTTTGGCTCTGTAGGTAGAAATGCCGATTTCATCTGGAGCATCTGGCAGGGTGGATGTTGGAGTGGATACAAGCAAACGATGGGCACCAGATGGAGTAAATGCCAGACCAGTCATCATTCAGCATGACTCCTATCTGCTAAGGTCAGGATAATTTCAGCAACTGGACAGAAACAGTTACTAAATAGGAAAAAAGACCACAGCTGCAGCCTTTCAAGTGTTCAGTTAACTGACAAACTGCAGTTTCATGGAAAAAACTGGCAATCTGGCTAAAAAACTGTTACATGAAATAATCAGCATCAATATTTAATTTCATAGAGTGTTAATAATTTTAGAATGATTTAAACTCTTAAAGCTTGAAACATGAAACAACACTCTTTTTTTTTGCTTTGAGATGGAATGAGCTAATTTTAAACATTGCCTCAGCTGTTTGTTTGTAACCTGAGCTGTACAGAGTGAGACACTAAATCAGGTTATTCATATTCGTTGTCTTTAGAAAACAGGGATGGAAAGACTCTTCTGTACATTTTGAACTCTTTTCTATATAAACAGCATGAAATAACCATTAAACGCATCAATCTGATTTCTAATTGGGCAGTAAACATAAAACCTACCGAGAACAATTCAACTCAACTGTCCCCAAATCTTAAAGATCCTGGGAAACTTCTTTATGCACCTAAATCTGATTAAGTCAGGTGATGAACTGGGTCATTTAGGCAGTTTTACTGTTTCGCTCTAAAACTAAACAAGATTGTATTCATCTGTATGTTTGAAACTATTGTTTTTGTTAAAACTCCACAATTTTTTTCCAGCTTTTTTATTGTCATAACACTGTCACAATTACAGAGCAACGAAAATAACAATCTGCATTTAACCCAATTCCCTTGCGGAGCAGTGGGCTGCCATTGTGCGGCACTGGGGAGCAGTGTGGGGGTTAAGGGTCTTGCTCATGGACCCAGAGATGCAGTCTGTGGGAGCTAGGCTTGAACTCAGAACCTCTGGATTCCAAGCACAATGCCCAAACCACTAGGCCGCTGCTCTTTTTCTTAACCTTATTTAACTTTTTCTATGCATCTTCCCTTCTGTCATAGTCTACCTGTATGCTAATACCTTTATCTCTCAGTCTGTAAACTTCCCTCTGGGAATAAATTCTTACTGATGTGCAAAACCATTCTTTCTCCAAACAGGTTGTTTTCACTCTTTGACTTTGGCCTCTTGAGACAAGATTGCATTTTGACAGTATTATATTGTCAAAATCTGCATTAAACTTTGATCAACTGTCATCATGCTTTACCCTATACTGTACAGAAGAGCCTTGTGCAGTGATTGTACAAATAGGGCATTGTGGTTTGGTGCACTGTTTTTTAACATGAAAAATCATTTTCTGCTATTCTCAGTTTTTCCAAACCCTCTGTGAGTGCTCCTTAGCTCCTGCGCCACTGTTTGATGTTTTGAAAAAAAACTAAGGCCAAATTGCTTTGGCTCATGAGTTTAAAAAGTGAAGCTTTAAACATTAAGTTTAACAACAGTAAGATGCTTTGAAGGTGTTGTTGCTGTTATCATACCTGTCTGTGCCAAACTTTGATGACAAAATATTTTTTTTTCTGGCCAGCTGATATTGATTTTCTCATAACAGCAAGAATACTTTTTAAAAACTAGAAAATTCAGACTCAGTTTTTTGTGCATTTAATACACTGTCCATGATGAATTCCAACTGTTTACCCATAAAACTTTCTATTTATGAATTATTGGGACTGTGTCCAACATCTGCTGTCAATGTTTCGACAATAGGCTGACTGACAATTATTGGTCTGACTAATGCTTATTTCCCCTGTGTGTGTTTGCCTACATTTTCTACCAAACAGGTATCAGGCGTTTCAGGAATTACAGAAAAAAAATAATAAATTAGAGGTACCGGTAAGTAATATCATAATTAGAGAGTCTTTAATTACTGGTGTGCAAGTAGGTGTACAGTATATTAACCCAGTGAATTGAATTACAGACTGTGCAATATGGCAGTGATCCAACTGATTTCAAGAAAGATGGTGAGGAAACTTTCCCTTCAATCACATTTCTAAAGTTTCCATTGATTAGTGATATCTGAATTTCACATCAGTGCACTATGATTTCATAATTCATTTCAACTCCTACCTAATACCCCCCCATGCATTGATCCTATAAAAAAACTCCACATTTCAGAAACAATAATCTAGACCATATTTGGTTTTAGTTTTACCCTTATAGAATTTGGACAAAACAAAAAAAAGATAGTTATTCACATTCGCATCATCAAATACACACCTGGAAAAAAAAGTTTGATGCTTTAGCCCAGGAAAGGGGAAGAAAAGCTGATATGCAGTCTCGATATAAGCACATACTTCCTATTAACTCTAACAAGTGACAGATGACAACAAAAGGTTTCTTGTTTACCTCTGGCAGAATATTTCTTGACATATTTGGTTACTTGTTTCTCTGCAACACTCAATTAAAGCATCATCTATACATTTTAGCAGGATTTAGATTGCTGTCATTCCAACAGTTTATTGTTAGTTTTTTTTTTTTTTCCCATTCAAAAACCCACGAGGATGTCTGCTTAGAATCATTGTTCTGTTGCAAGATACAGTTCTGTCCAAGTTTCAACCATCTGATGCAGATTGATGCAAAATATTATACGAAATGTCAGAACTTAAAGAAACAACCCTGTAACTATCAAGGCTCAAGCCAATGTTGGAAGGAAAGTCTCAAAGTTAAAGAAGATCAAGATCAGCGTACACCGAGAAAGCAGCAGCACATGCTAGATAATGGTCACCTTCTATTTTTGATGGAAAAATGCATTTTGCCCATATTGGCACGGCCATTTATGGTCTAAAATAAAAAGAAAAACAAGTTTGGAGGAGTTGATTTGAGGATTTGGACTCAAGAGAGCAACATACCAGATTGTTGAGCATGGTGGTGGTAGCATCATGTGTTTCATTACTAGTGGATGTGGAGCATACCACAAAGTTAGGGTGCTAATAATGGACTAACTCAGAATTTCTTATATTCTTCCTCAAATCAACACAGAGACAACTGGGTGATAAACCCCAATGATAGATAAACAGGCTAACAATTAGCTCCCTCACCTCAGTCCCTTTCTGCTGGAGCAGTCAAACATCATGCCCACATTAAACCAAAAGGTTTTTGACAGCTGATTAAACTTTGGGGATTTGGGTGGATTTAAAGCTTTTAAAGTTCCTTTAAGCTTTACTCACTCTTCATGGCCAAATGTAAGCTTCTCATCAGTAAAACAATATGCTGTAAAGTACTTTTTTTCTATAATTCGATTTTAGGTGTTGAAGAGGTCAGAAAAACAGCAGTGAAGACAACGCCTAAAGAAAAGCATCAGGAGGAAAACCGTCCAAAACGTCGAAGCTGTGTGTGATACTGTGAAACAATTTCCCTCTTAAACTCAGTAAACTGGACTGTTACACATGTCAATGGTTACTCAGGTTAAAAACATAATTTCTGGGAACAAATAATGTGCAATAATGTGCTTTGCAGTAAACCAGGACAGAATTCTGAGAATAAGTGTTAACATGCAAAGATGATTCCATTCTTAATCAAAATATTAGTTTTAAAACATATGAGCTTATAAAAGGGACACTCAGTACAAAACCAGAGGTGTTTCAGCAATAGCATTTAATAGCAATAATAGATAAGCAGCTGTAAAACAGAGTATTTCTTTCTCTGCTTTTTAATATTGCACTTATTTGAATCGCTTTGTTTCCATTTAGCTGCTCCTCTTTCAAAGTCCATTTGGGCCGTTCCCTGCCATGTCCAGGCGATGTAAAAAAAAGAAAAACAACAAAGAGGTAAATGTGTCTGTTTCCATCATCGGTTCTTGTCAGAACCAGTTGGACGATTTGTCCTTTGTGCTGAAAGTTAATCTCAGTCACTGTTTCCGCTGCTGTCATCTCCCACCACCATGCTGCTGTACTTCTTCTGCTGCTGCTCCTTAAACGTATCCTTCACCTTTGCTCTCTTCAGACCTCCGTCCCTGCAGTCACCAATCAAATGATCTAATTTAACAGATTTATGCTTTTTTTTTTTTTTTTTAACCCTGCTATAATCTTTTTTTACTCCCACCATCAAGTTGTTCCATTTATTACAGATGAGGTCAATAGAAATGTAATAGCTTACCACTGTAGATCAATCAGCCCTCCTTGGTGAGCTATAGCTGACTTCACTCTGTTGGCAAAATGGACAGCATCCTCACCCTCCTGACATCCCAGGATAAAGAATAAACATTTTAGTTTGCCAGGAAATGGCTAAATAAACACGTTTAGAAGGTCAAATCTAGTTTAAAAAAAGAGTTTAGAAAAATTTGTTATGAAACTATAAATACTATAAAAATCTAACCCATCGTCTGCAGATGGTGAGTTCTTAAGGGTTATAAGCCTTTAAACCGACCTGTTGGTGCATGGCTGGCAAGTACCAAACGTTGCAGACGAGAGCCCAGCTCGTCATCATTCGCAGTAGGTAGCTCACCATGCTGTACTTGGAGCTGTTCCAGAAAGCATCTCCAAACTTTGGGTCATACTAACAGCGAACAAGAAGCCAGTTAGAGCAACAATGAAATCTACACAATCACTCATTATAGCCATGAATGTCATTCATTTGGGGATTTTGATGCTTTAATTGCAACATTCTTTTACCAAGGGTATTTATTATTAACACCAACTTGAATCATTAAAAAAATAGAATTGGAAGAAGGAGCTTTTATCTAATCAAGGTTCTAAATATAAATATAGGTTGAACACCAACAAATATGATACTAATATTTGGTTGTACGCATCTAAGCGAGTTGAAGCAAAAAACAGAGGGTTTAGGTTACAATCAAAGTCTATCAACTTAATTATTGAGGGATATAAGAACCAATTTTTGTTGAATTGTTAACCTCAAATCTTAACATCAACAGTATTAATGTGTTTAAATAAAAAAAGAACATATATGACATTCATGCCAAGGATGACTGTAGGTGCATTCCTTATATATATGTGCAAATAAAGTACCTTGATGGCTACAGGATATATTGTTGCTCCGATTTCGAAACTTCCCTTTTTGAACATCATGACAGATGTGTTGTTAATACAGGTTCCTTCAGAGAGCAGACATACAGGAGATGAAAGGAAGCATGTTGTGTGAACCGTTTCCAACTTCACATACAAGATCAGTTTTTGGTCACAATTCAGAGCTCAGCTCGCAGACAGGAGCTAGAATAACAGCCTTCAGTGACTCATTTCTATGAAGTCATTATCATCAAACATGGAATTAAATAACGCAGCAAAAAGTTACCTTCTGGAAATATTAATATTGGAAGCTTGGTCTTGTCATTCACATGGTCCTTTAACCTGGAAAGAAAAGAAAAGGGAGATGAAAAAACTCAAATACCTTAATAAATACACACATTGTGCAAAAATATCATAAAAAAATGGTAGGAAACACGACCCCGGTTTCCCAACTGTATGAGTCACTTTTTTGAAAAAAGTTCAAATATGTGGTCATGTCTGGAGGTTTTGTGTGTAATTTATCCACATGCCTACACGCCAGAAAAGTATCAAGAACTTTGAGAAACAGAGGGGAAGAAGAAAGACAACACCACCCAGAAAACAACAGCAGAGGTTCTGTGGGGAACTGAAAGCTAACCTTTTGGTCACTAGATGGCGATCTTTCATCTCTGACCGCTCAAACCAGACATGAGGGCAAGACCTCACCATTGCTCTCTGAAGAATTCCCATTAGACCTCCGTGGACCTGACCCACCTGAATAAGACGGTTTGGCACAGTCAAAAACGCACACTTCAGAAATCTGAATGTAATAAATGCAGAAAAGTGTTTGATTTATCACACACCATGGCATAACAGCCGTCGTTGCAAAGTATTACGATGTCTATGGGACTGGTGTGATTGGCCACGCAGATTCCTCCTTTTTTGGGTTTATTTTCTCTGTATTTTCAGGAAAAGTTACATCAGGGTTAAAATAAAATGGACTTGAATTTTATATGACAACAATAGAGCAGGGATTCCCAACTCTAGTCCTCTAGATCTACCATAAAGCAACTTTGAGATGCATCACTTTTTCAACAAACCTAAATAAATTACAAAGCCTCTAGAAAGCTAGGTATCTGACTGATTTAGGGGTTTCAGTCATTTAATACAGGAGAAAGGATTAACCTAAATGTTGTAGCATGGTAGCTTTGGGGAATCGCTCACATGGTAGCAGAGCATTTAATGACAGGTTACCTGTTGTGGTAGTGAATAGTAGCAGACAGCCCTCGAGCACAGATTCTGTAGCACATAACATGGACCCACTCACTGAGCCAGAACTTTACCCTAAAGATGAACATTCAGATGAAAAAAGAAACTGGAAATAAGAGACAGATTTTCTTTCAGTGGAACAGTCTTTAAACCTGTCAGATTTTGTGGTCACCTGGAATTTGGAAGAAATCCGACGGCAGACGTTCCAATTACCAACCAGGTCAGGCCGATGCAGGCCAGTGTGATCCTGAACAAAGACAAGCACAGACAATGTCAGAATGAATTAGATTAGAGAGGCAGAAACCCATAGGAGATATAAAGGAGATTCTGTATCAGGAGATCAGAAAAACAATCTAACCTATAGATATTTAAGAAATGGACAAACCCTCCTTGTTGATTCAAATGCATTATTCAATTTTGGCTTTTAATCGTTTCTTTCTTCTTTTTTTTTTAACCTTTATCAGGCTGATATGATGTTAGAAAAAATCCATTTAAAAACAAACTTGGTGCAAAATTTCAAGTTTATGGCAGCCTTCCTTCTATAAAAGGGTCAAAAGTCAAAAAAAAAAAAAAAACATTTTTGCATACATCTACATGTAAATGTAATAATAGCTCCAGACTGCACACCTGAGATTACTGAAGAAACTATCTCACATGGTGGAGGTAGAAGCATGCCGTGGGACTGTTTTATTGCGAGTAGAGCATTACACTGTGCAAAGTAAATAAAAGAAATATCAAACGCAATAAACAAAAGGGACCATGTCCTAATTCTTTGACTTTAACTGAAATCCACAGCTGGAAATGTTCAAAGTTGGATGGTATTTGGATTTTGAGGGGTTCGGGACATTAATCCTACATACACATCAAAGATGGCTTTAAGAGTTAATATATTAGGCATAAAATACTTGGTATAATTATTCCCAAAGTAAAGAAAATTATGGAAAATATTGAGCATCCTCTTCAGAAAAGGATGGCCTCTCCAGATCCACACATTTAACAACTAGTTTAATAAGAGAGAGAAACATCAATCAGACCTTGAGCTACTGCAACATTTAATTTTGCTTTGGGAAACATGTGAGAAACATTTAGATTTCTTAACTTGAGGAACTTTTCTCTGCAAGAGTTTTTTTTTAATTTATTTTTTTTTTTTTAATACCATCCATCTTGTGGAAGATTTAGGACCAACTCTTCTTTAAAATGTAGCTAGATTTTAAACATGGCTGCTACATAACCCTTGAAAAAAGGCCCTGTAAAAGTTTTTAGTCATGCTCAGGTGTGGACTTTGAGGTTTTGCATTATTTTATAGATATGTTGCTGTTAAATGTTAAATGATCCAGTGTGGGTGAAGGGAATGCTGCTAAACAAACAGTCAAACGTTTAATACCGAATCATCTTGTAAACAAATGATTTAATTTTCATCATGGGCAGCAACCCTTTCATCTATAAGGTCACAGCCTCTTTATTTCCACACACATCTGTGTGTTTTGGACAAGGAAGCTGCTGGTAAGCTCTTATAAAAGCAGTTACACCCCCATGATGGTAAAAACAGAGTTCTGCCTGCCCCGCTGCTATATAGGAAACAAAACTGTAAGTGTGAGGATATTTTTCCACTAGTAAAGCATGTTGATAGGTCTTCTGATCTGAGGGGTGTGTTAAAACTAGTTTCCAGACCTATTTAGGACCAGTCTTCACAATGTTATAAAGCTTTAGAAAAGGTTGGAAACCTAACTCTGATATAAAATGTTAAACTTAATTGATTTTTTTTGTGCAAAACATTTTAGTCCTTCTGGAAAGAGGACAGTTTTGATGAAGATACAATGATGGTCAAAAGTTTTGAGATTGAAAGGAGTCCCATTTCCATTAAGCTTTATTGCTCCAGCAATGGTGAGAATTTGCTTTGACTCTAGGCCACTAGGAAGATGGATCAGATACTATGTTTAAAAACTGCAAATAATTGCAAAGTTATTGGAAATTATCTCAATCAGAAAAGCCTAATTTGCAAAAGCTTTTAGTCCTGTAATCATCATTAAGCGAAAGAGATATAAAGGATAGAACAGCTGTTATCAGATACAGCATTGTCTCAGACTAAATCAAAACTGATATCATCTTTTTTCGTCAACTAATAAGAAAACATATGCTGTTAAAATCCTTTTTGGATTAGAAGGGCACAAAAAAAACATTACTTGAAGAAGGAAAGTTCTGTGACTAAAGAAAGAGACAAGCAGGGTAGGGAGGGATGTTCTCCAAAAGAAGATTCAGCTAAGGGATCTGGTTTCTAACTGTACAAAAAAATGATCAGGTATGGCTACAGACAGAATGGATACTTCTGTACAAATAATGAAGCAAATAATTTGGGATGATTTGCTGCTGTAAAAAAAAGGACAGACTGACATTTCACAGGAAGTACCCAAACTGGGCTGAAAAGGTTTGAGGTAAAAGAATCTTCTCTGTTTAGAAATTCCGCAAAAAGAATGATCCACAACAGGTAAGATAAATCCTACTATGAATCTTTCAAAGCCTCTTCCACAAGCAATGACTTCACCATGAGGAATCACCCGACCAGTCTTACTTTGATCAGAGATCAAAAGAGTTCAGATCCAAAGCCAAAAGCTTCATCTGATGATTAACAAAACAAAAGCAAATGAAACCAATGGAACACTAAGTATTGATCTCTTATATACTAAGATATACACTAAGATTTCAAGCAAACATCTCTGATAAGCAACATTTTCATCAGACTTAGCACACCTGCCAAGACTGTCCAATGTTTCTTTCTCATCAGAACATCCAATATTCACCTGTTTCAGTTTTACAGCTCATTTGGTGACCTTTGACCTTGTTATTTCCTCCTTCTCTACAATAGACTCAATGTTTGATTTCGCTGTCAGCATGACATACAAAGTGTTTGTTTACCTAAGCGGGGCGAGGATGCAGTATCGCACAAAGATACCAAGGCCATAAACCAGTGTTAGCTTCAGACTGATGTACTGGAAATCATTGTTGGTGCGCGTCAGTAGATTCCAGGATACCAGCTCTTCTGAGGTGAACCGCTGAGTTACCTTTAATATAAAAAAAAAAAAAAAAGGGAGACAATAAGTATTGAAACAAAACCCAAAACCTGAATGAAAAAAACTAAATTATCTGGAAATCAAGTGGCTAAAGATGAAGGGTACCTCATCATCTACAATGCTTTCAATTCCCCTTCGAGAGAAATAGAAACAGTCACTCAGCGTGAAGTCCCCTCCTTCTGGCGGTTTGGGTCTACTGCGTCTCAGCTCCTCCAGCTCTTTCTCCATAGAACCGCCTTCCCTTTGAATGAGTCCTGATACAGAAACAAACAGATAAAATAAGAGTCAAAGTCAAACTCAATCAACTGATAGAAATCTGGACCAATCCCTCTTTAAATCTCCTTAGAAAATTCAGATAGGTATAGAAATAAATGCATTAAAGTAAAATAAAATGACAAAACTGCTTATTCAAGAATAACTTGAGAGAATGTAAGTTTATTTATATGGCGTTTCAGTGGTGAGACAATTGAAAGTGCTGTATATGAAAAAAAAAATAAGAAAAAATATACTGCAGTGGCAAAAAGGAAATTCAAATAATTTAATAAGGAAAACATCTATCCAAAAAGGGTCATACCAGATTGTTATATCTTTATTCAACATTTACAAATCAAAGGATATGCTTCCACTCACAGATGCTTCTGGTGACATCACATCATGCAACTGCCCGGACTCCTTTTTACTACTTTTTGTATTTTTCATGTTTTCTTCATCTAATTTGCTTTTTTTCTCCATTAAGATTTCCCCTTCAAAGGTGTTTAAGGTGCATTCTGCACAACTGCAGTGGTAATTTTGAGCCCTTTGTTTGAACACTGCCTGGGTTTCAGTGGAAAAAAATCAGTATATTACTTACACCTTTCTGTTTTTATTCCTCAATGGCTGTGAAAAATACACACCATTTGATAGTATTTTTAAAACAATACAAGCAATTAAACCACTAGATGTATTCAAGACAACTGCAAATATGTATTATTTTAATGTGCAAGTAGAAATAGTTTGCAATGGAAACACTCAATAATACTTTCCGTGGGAACATAGCTTAAATGAGAACTTTCTATTAGAGGCATTAGCGATTCATCTGAAACAACAGACTATATACTGCAAAGCAATCTTTGTTTGGATATTTTTTTCATGCTTATGCAAAGCAGTAAAAGGGATCTAAGCATAGTTCCCCTAGCAATAAAGCTTGAAAGTCCAAAATCTAAGGTCTGTTTGATAAATGCTCCTCATGTTTTCAATGTAACGGTGATTTAGCATTTTTAATTTGCCACTTCTTATCAAAATTTCACCACATATCAGAGCCATACTTTGACCTCTGCAGAGGTCTAAAAAGCGTTTTTTTGCTGACAGATCTATTGTATTTATGTGGTAAAGTAGGGCATACAACCCCATGCAGCATGGTGACAGATAAGGAGTTGAGTAATTGGGTCTTTTAAGATACTGTAATCAAAGTTCCCAGAGCAACGTCCCCATGCTGCATGTTGTGGCATCTGAAATCTTGTTCATTATATCCCAAAAACACAATATTGTGCAATGCATTACCCGTTTTTGTTAGGATTTTAGAAAAATACTGCCAACCTTTATAGTGAACCATAACATTGCAACATTCCTGTCTTGACTTGCAATACAGAAATCCAGTATTGCAGCAAAGCCAAAATAAATTTCTTTCTGAATATGCTGCAGTCAAGAAGAGCCACAGTGTTATATATACATGAATATTTACTCACCATTAGATGCAGAAGCATTAACCTTTTCTTCTTCTGCATTTGCTTTCTGTATGCTCAGAGTGGCCCACTGTGGAGGAGTCCATGGTCAGGTTTTAAGAATATAGGATTCAGCTCATCTGGATGATGTGAAGCAGATTATAATACCTCTAAGGTCTTCACCAAGATGGTCATGTAGGTCTCAGAGATGCCCAGAGAAAATCCAAACATGGCTGGGATCATGATGAGACTGATAATGAGGTAGAGCCAAATCCTTAGGGCCCAGAGGACCCCTGCCCAGAAATCCTCCATCTTTCACCTTATTCCCTGAGGTTCACCTTCCCTGTGGCTTGGATACTGCGAAGAGAGAAAAGAAAACAGCTCTTAATTTATACTTTTGGTCCATCCAATGGTAAGAAAAGCAAAGTGAACATCTATCTACTTGTGCAACACAAGAAAAAGTTATTAACACTAAAAGCATGTAGTGTAAAGTACCAAAAGGTCAAATTACAATCAATGACACAGATCCACTCAAACCACCCTAGATCAATACATATAATCCTACTCCCTACAGAAAGTTACCAGAAACTACAGAGAGCGCTTTCCAAATTATATTGTGGCTCATTCGTTGCGTTAGTTTCCTGTGATCACCAACAGCAGAAGGGCTCAGATTACAAAAAGTTTGACTCACGTCCCCTGCTTTACTCCATGTTCTGTCTTTGTGTGGGAAGGACCGCAGTTCACAGAGAACAAACACGCCCATTTACTACTTGAACAAAGTTCACGGGATTCCGGGCCAAACAGCGCCCTCGTGTGTTTAGCTAATGAACTGTGAACCAGGATCAAACTTTATTGTCATTATGTATACACCGTGTGTGTAAAAAAAAAAAAAAAAACGAAAGTACGTTCTTACAGCTTTCAAAAGTTTTTTTTTTTTTAAATGTATAGGGCACTCAGTTAAATACTTTGAAAATCAAAATGTGAAACAAATAGTGTTTTTGGAATCCAGGACAAGAACTTTTTACCTTTGTAACATTCAGAAAATATGGATATTTTGATGGCAGAAATTAATGCCAATGTAATAACAAATGTAATAACAAGAAACGCCAACTTGCCCGAATATATTGAGAAAAATAACAAGGTGCTTCTATAAGAAATTCATGAAAACACTGAGAGTAAAAGAAAACAATTTTTTTGTCTAACATAACCTTTGAGGCATCAATGCTGATACTGGCAGTTACATTTTTTTATTTTATAAACCTAAATATAATTGTTAACAAGGTTTGTTAACTTTTCTAACTTTACTTTCTAACTTTTCGATTGGCTTTTTACTTTTTTTCTTGACTTAACTTTTTTTTTCCAACTTAATTTACATTAGGAAATAAATCATTCAATGCCAAAATAAGATGTTCAGCCATGCAGCAGTATTTTTGCTGAATGGCTGGATATAGATCTTGTGCTTCTGGACCTCACTGAGGGACGGGGGGGGGGACTCCATTTGTAAGGAGTATGCTAGCGATCAAAAATGGTAACTTGCCCTATAAAGGGTTAAAACCATGAAAAAAATACTGCATATTTGCACTATATATATTAATGCTCTGAACTTCCATATAAATGTGTTTCTTGCACCATGTTTTTTTTTTTTTATCTCCCACACTGTTTACATTTGATCACTGCTGCACTTTATGAAATGAAAATGAAAATGTCCATTTACTGTGTGAAAAGCTGTACTGAACAAAAATTCTATTTTTTATGTAATCTGTGTGTACAAAATGACAATACAATTTGTCTAAGAAATGAACATTACCATTTAAAGTGCAGCAGTGATCATCATGTATAGGAGAAAAGGAAAACCAGTTTAAAAAAAAACAATGGTGCAAAAGGGCATCAATGTGGAAGGTTTGGTGCAGTGCAAAATAAATATGGTGCAAAATGCAGTGTAATATTAAGTTGTGTCTCATTTAAAAGGATTGTAAAAGTTTCTGCCACGTTGGTGGTGCAAAATAATGCTTCACCACCAAGGCTATGCAGGTCCTCTGTATAACAAGAGCATTTATAAAGGGAAAATTGATAAAACAGGTGAATTTAAGCCAATTACACTGAGATGTTATGAGTATATTCATATATTCATTTTGGTAAATGCTGCTACAATCATTCATTGTCTTATTCTTGCATTGTTCTGGTGGAGGGACTGGCTCCTGTTATGTAATGGTCAATAGATGAGAGGTGGGTTCCACCCTGGACAGGTAGCTAATCTAACAGCAGAGTATGACTAACAGTCTTGAAAATCTAGTGCTAAAAACATTTTAAATATTTTTTCCTGCACAAGTATTTGATAGGAAAGTAGAGTCGCTGAAAAAAGTGCAGGAGCAAAAGGTGCATAAGGTGAGGTGGTTGTGGATCAAATTCTGTTTAATAGTTTTAGTGAGATTTACAGGCCATGGATAGCAACTACACTGATAGAAGTGACATTTGGTGCAGTAAACTCTATTAGATTATTCGTCATAATTTCTGCTCTGTATTTTTAAGCTTCAGTAAAAACTAGAGTTTCTAAAGTAAAAGTAAACCTTTTTTCAATGTAATACATGAATTTTTGGGAATTAGAAAGTTTTACTTAGATTTCCTATACTATTTTAGTGTTTAATTGCAGTATGTACATAAACCTAAAAATACTACATAAACTTTACATAAACTACTAAAAATGTAGCGTTTTGAAATGCAAGCATGGCACATGTGCATTGTAGCTCACAGCAAGACAGATTCTGCTCCATTTCCAGACATTACAGGATCATGCACAGAGCAGGAGGTAGTCCCAATGACCATCATTTTGACAGGCTGCAACAGTACTGCAAAAGCCTGCTCGCTGCTCATGGGACTGATATATGCCCTGAACCTGGCATACCCTCCCAGTTTGCGCTACACTTTGGAAGTCTTCCAATAACTAGAATTGGATGGATTTAAACTGTCCCCAAAAGTAAACACCCTGAAGATGAAGTTGCTTTCCTAAATGCATTCATGACTTTGTCATCTTAGGGTAGAAAAATGTGGCAACAAATGCCAAGAATTACCGTAGCAATCGGTTCCAGTTAATCTTAGTGGAAAGTTGCCTGTCATTAGTGTTTTTTATTTTTTGCCTATTAAGGTATATTTTATTTTGCAAAAAATAACAGATATCTTTATTCAAATATCTAGTAGAGATTTTAGTCTTCACTAAGAATGGTTAGACAGTTTAAAATGTTAATTTTTAATTGTGTTGATTTTGTTTTATTGATGATGTAATTGCAATCATTAAAGGTGCACTAGTCTGGATGATTGGTTTAAAGATTTATATTGCTTGTGTCAGTGTGTAGGTTTGTAAGATTTTTATCGTATAATTGAGTAGTAACTATATTACCAGATCTATGTTGGTTGTGGTGTATATGAAATACTGTGTATTAGTCATACGAACCTTATCTTTTTTATGGTACAAATTATAATGCAGTACAACATAATGCACTTTTACTGCTATGTTTGTACTTATTTTTTCTTCTTCTTCATTTAAATAGAGCCAAACATAATCTTTACACCACTGCTCAAAGTTTAAGTGGGTGTTTCTGTTCTGACCCTCGCCCAGAAGTTGTTTTGAACATGTTTGTGTAAGTTAAATATTCTGGATCTTATATATGAGCATATTTCTGTAACGAATGTTGAAACTCTCAGTTTCAGAGGCTTGTAAATTTTTTATCGCATATTTGTAAAGTGCAATTCCAGTTATGGGGATTAAACTTCCCTTCCCTTTCTTCTGCCTTGCAGCATGAAGGTTTTGGGTACGATATCCAGCCTTTCTGCATGGAGTTTGCATGTTCTCCCTTAGTTTGCGTAGGTCCTCTCTGGGTACTCCATCTTCCTCCCACAGGCCAAAAACATGACTGTTAAGTTAGTCTCTGTGTTTCCCTGGGATAGACAGGTTGCCCTACTATAGACTGGCGACCTGTCCAGGGTAGACCCCGCCTCTCGCCCATAGACAGCTGGAGCACCAGCACCCCTCATGACCCCAACTGGGATTAAGCGTGACAGAAAATGGATGGATGATTTCCAATTAGACTGTCAAATTTCTGGCTGGCCCATGAAAGATTGGACAATTTAATCCAATAGGGTATTTACTTCTTTGTTAAACTGTTTAAAATGAAAAATAAACTGTTTAATGTATATTAAGTTTATAGACCATTAATTTAATTTAATTGATAACATTTATCAAAAGAAACCTGGCAGTGCCTAAAGTTAGCGAGTAATGTAACATAATGCAATAAAGTAAATCAATATGTCAAGCACAAGAAAATACTAATTTTCTAATCTACTTAATTACTCCATAACAGCAAATAATACAGGGATATAAGATTTACTTAAAATTTTGAGTAAAATGCTGTTTGTGCTTATGAAAAACAAATACACTTTACTTAATTTGTTTAAATAAATCTAACTTACAACTTGGATGTAATTAAGTAAATGTTAATATCTTCACAACTGTTATGTCTTATGGTAAGTCACTTGATACTGGCAAGTGAATGTTACTTGATATTGCAGCATTACATTTTACTTAAATCATTTCTGCAAATACTCACAATATATTTTTTAAGTAAATCTTATGAGTTGTTTTTTTGTGTGTGTAGTCAGTCAAACACAGCCCACACAGACAAACCAGGTAATGTATTACAACTGTTGCATTTTTTGTGTTGGGCCCACTCATTAGAAAACCATCAGAGATGGCTAACGGGGCCCAAGAACTAGAATGTTTCTCAGACATCTAAAATATTCATAGTGGGAGATGCATTTTACATACTGGAAGAAGAGTGGAGAGGCACAGATTCACACTTGCTCCCCAGTTTCTGCAGTAACTGATCATTTGAGGAACTATGTCACCTTCTACTCTTGGTCCATTGTGTTGTATCACATTTAAAGCATGTAAAACCATCTATCTGTGAATTTTAAGGCACTTCATGCTTTCCTTTACTCAAACCTTTTTATTGAAATGCTGATTAGATATTCAAGCAGGATTTGGCACCTGCCCACACTTTCAAAAGCACCACTACCCAGGTCAATGACCATGTTATCACGTTGCACGTTTTCTCGAAAACTGGCCAGATCAATATCCCCAAGATAATCTATAAAGTATTGTCAAAAGGAATTTGAACCGCAGAGTCAATAATGACGACAAGCTCTGAGCTGCTATCAAAGCAATCTCAGCAATACAAAGCAATACCTCACCAGAGCCACAGGCTGATTCCTCCATGCCATTCCGCTTGATGGAAAAATTACTTTTTCAGTTCATACTTTAAATTCAGGTTTTCTAAAATTCCTATTTTAGATTTTTCAGCTGTAAACCAAAAATTTAAGGGGAAGGGGAAATTTTAAGACTAATAGATGTAGAACAACAAGAAAAAGATTATGTTTATCAATTTGCGGAGTTAAATTGTGGAACAAAATAAATGAGAACCTAAAGCAATGCCCAAAGATATTCNACAACTTCTAAGTAAACTCAACTTAATTTATAGAATAAGATGAACTTTTCATCAGAAACTTATGAAAGTGAGTTCAACTGGCTCACAAAAGACAGTTCAAGTTCCAACTGGCAATTTTATTGTCAGTGAATGCAAAAATCTTAGTAAGGTGAACAATTTTGAGTTGTCATTTTTACAGTGTGGGATTAAGCGTGACAGAAAATGGATGGATGATTT